ATTTTCTTCATCAAGCACCCAACAGACCACCACTCATGGACAAGGAAAATGTGTTGCTTTTATGTATTTCATTATAGAGGGCTTATTGGCTATCTTATTTTTGAATGAGTTTCAAGAAAATTGATGTTGTTTGCACTGGGAAGTAGGAAAGTTGGGCTTAATGATGTTTTGCAAGAGAATGAGTGCTGTGGTGATTGCACCAAAGTGTGTTAAGAAATACAAGCATGAGCAGAAAAACAAGGAAGGGTTTTGCCTGTGGATTTTGTTCCTTAATTGTTACAATAATCCAAAAACATGGATAAAACACCTTAATTTTTGCCAATATTGATGCATGACAATGGAACTGCAGTGCAGGCTTTGTTGTTAGATTTAAAAGTGAATGTAAACTTTGATAAGACATCAAAAGTCTGTTATTGTGACTATTGTACATATGATCAACTACTCAGGATTCTAACATTCATGGATGAAATTGAAAATATCATTGGACAAATTAAAAATGGGGGTTTCCACATTCAGCAAGTCCCTGATGAGAAGCAGACCTGATTAAAGTACTTCTCAGTTCACTGACAATGGAAAAGCTGAAAAGGTGGGTTGCAAGTTTCTGCACTTGCTGATGGAGGGTTGAGAAAGTGAGCTGTTTCACTTCTTCCAGCATCGACAGATAAACAAGCATTTTCAAACTTGGATAGCCAAAATGGCTTTTTTTTCTCATCCTGTGCCAGTCCTGGAAAATTTTCCCCAGCACATTCTGAAGGTTTGAGGTTGCTCAAAAACACCCATTTTTGCATAGCCATTCAATATGGGTGTGACATGGGTGTGGCAACATGTGCTTCATACATGCCTAGCTGCCAAAAATCACCTTTTTTTCAAAAAAATCCCCCATATCCAACCAGCCATGGAATACAGGTGGGATGCAGGTGATTTATGCCTGATGGCTGCAAAAATTCTGATTATTTCCTGGGCCATTGATCATTGCAATGTTCATCAAGCCCATAATGATACATTATCAGCATCAGTTGTTCAAGCTGTGGTACCTTTAAGGGAAATTATAGGATACTATTTTATGTAGGAAAGGGGGTTTAGCAATACATGAAATCATCTTCTGAAACTTTCTTTGTTTCTTCCACAAAATTGCTTGTATCCGCCAGTAGAAAATGAATACCTTACCTTATTGCAGGTGGAATCTCTCTATAACAAAGTTTTTGGGACCAGCAGTAGAAACATTCTGCTGTAAAAAGAATTTCATTGTAAAAAACCTCTGTAAAATGGGAGAGCAACTCATCATGAGACTGAAAAAGGTGTTCCATGCAATAAAAATTTTTGTTGTAGACAAAATCTTCAAGAGTTCACCTGCATTGAGTTTTCTGCTGCACAATGAGGATTCTCACGTGAAAATGGTTTGGTAAAAATATTTAGATAATAGGGAGGTTTCACTCAGAGCTGGGGTGTTGATCACCATACTGCCATACTGGGAAAGTGTTTGCCCTACAAGCTACCACTACACCTATTTAACTACAGTATTACAAGCACGGCCACTTCCCCTGCCACAAAATAAATTGTTGCACTACCACTACCCCTACCTGCCCAAAAAAATCCACTATCTGCCCTCCCACTACTTCTAAAAAAACATTCCACCGCCACTACCACTACATAAAATATTTCTCACGACTATTATACCAGCACTATACTAATATACTGCTGTTGCTTTAAAAACTTTCCAAGTATGACTTTATTTAAAAATATGTATCAATTCTCACACCACTGATATAGCTATAAATGTCAAATTTAAGCAATTTGAATTTTAAAATTTTTAACATTTCCATTTAATTTTGAAAGCCAAATAATACATTTCAATTTCCAACATACTGTAGTTAACTTCTCTTCCCTTTGAATTGAGAACACATACAGAGGCGGCCCTATAGGGTTTTCAGGGTCTGGGGCAGACATGTCGAATGCGGGGCCCCTTAAAAACACTCCCCTATCAATTCTTGAACAGCATTTAAAGAATGAAAAAAGATTTAAATCAGAGTAAAGCTGCAAATGCAATTACGTTTCTTAGAAGCATATACTGTAGAAAGGTCTTTTTTTCAATTTTGTGAATTAAACTTTCCGAATTTTTCTTTCAATTTTATTTGTATAATCTCTTACTTTTTTAAAGGTCAAATTGCTTGTTTTGGCTGAATTGGTTAATTATATGTTCAAATTTTTAAAATGTACAATAACCAACCAAAATGGCTGTTGCAAATAAAATTAAGGTAATAACAGTGACAATAATTCCTGCAGAGAAGAGGTGCAGCTAATCAAAACTCAATGGCTATCATCTTTCTGAGACCAAATTATGGTACTGTATTAATTTATCTGCAGCATTAATTTATCTTAACATTCTGCAGATTAAATACAAATTTTTTGCTTGTGTAATTTTGGCAAATGTATCTGTATCAGTTATAATGCTGATTTTCTACAGATTGAATTTGAAAGGACTTCAGAAGAAAAAATTGGTCATGGCAGTTTTCAAGTTTTAGGATTATGGCCCAATTTGTGCACAGGTTGATCAAGCAAATCATTTTCTGCTTTTCTTAGAATTGTTACTTATTCCCACATGACCAACATGTGAAAATTAGCTTTGAAAAACATCACAGTTATTCTTTTTCTCACTTTTTAAACAGCTGCTCTAAAACTCAGCCCTTATTTTATATCTGCAGGTATTACTGCAAAATCATTTTATTAGCAAAGAACTAGCTTTAGAGCCAAAAACTTTCCATTCAGGGAGATTTAAAAGGAATTGGTCTTGAGGGGAATGCCAGGGATACACTGAAAATGCAATTACAAGAGATATTTAAAATGAATGAAGTTCACAATTTAGCTAGGTATAGTCCAGGAACAATAATAACATTGTTCTACTTTTATTAAGAGCAAAAGCAGCATATTTATTCTGAAGTCACGATGAATTTCATTATAAATCTTGATGCATCATATTCTTAGAAATATTGATTACATATTGCACCATCATTGCATAAACTACATGGGAAAGTTTAGCATTGAGGATTGCCATTATTCAATGGTAATTCAAAATTCAAGATGCATCGTTCCTACTTCAAATTCTTAGTGATGAAAACTGTACAAGACCTTGATAAAATGTAAAAATACATATATCTTCAACAGAAATTCCACTGAAGATTGAGACATTCATGTGGAGTATAGGAAAGCTCATATATGCCAATATTATTCCAAATGCATTGTTGGATCTGTTGTGCTCTTTTTGTGGATCAGATTAATTTTCAGCGAACTTTGTAAGGAGGTGAGAATAAACATATCCTTTTGGAAGGCACCCCACTCCTTCCAGTTTCAAGGCAAGTGGAACAATTTTTGAGGGGACAGCCAATTTTCAGAGCCAGGGGATGGCGGACCCTCCTCAAGTGCGGTGCCTGGGGTGGCGCCACCCCTTTTGCCCCACCCCACGGCCGCCACTGCGAACATAACCTATTCTATTGTTACAATACCTCAATGCTTGAAAAATGAATTAGGACATTTGGGAAAGGGAAATGATAAATTTTCTTGTTCAGATTTCCAGCAATTGGGAATAATGCTGAGAGAGACATATTAATAGATTTAGTGATTTCCTATAATCCAGAATGTGGTAGTCCCAGGCATGTACATCACAACAATAAAATCATTGTAATTGCTTTCATTGGATGTTGAATAATTTCCTGAAATTTGAATGTGATGCCAAACCTTGTTTCATTCAACTGATGACCAGAATTCAAAATGTGACAAACAACAACATCCAGAATTATTAAAACAAAAATGTGTATGCCCCATCAATATCTAAAAAAAGGAATTCATTTTCTGAATTGTTTGATTGAACTGTTTGAGGGATTCTGAATTGTGAAGCTTAAAAATTTCCCAGAATGAGTCCCTCCTTTTCACTTGTATTATTTCCCCAAAGGAAGGCCGGGGTCTCCTGTCATTCTCATCATTGATTTTTGAAAAAGAAAGGGTAATTTATTGTTTCTAAAACTGAGGGAGACAGGGAATTGAGGTGGAAGTGGAACTATAGGGGTGAATTGCTGGGATATTACATCCCCCTCTTCCCTGGCTTCTTGCCATCCTCCTGCTGGAGTGTCGCATATCCCCACCTCCAGTGCTGTTAGCAGGAAGAAATAATAATAATTTCCCAGAAATGTAGGAACCGCTCATGGAAGAAGTGTTAATACTTTGGAGATGAGAACAATTTAGAAAGTAAGTATTTCCTGGTTACAGGAGGAAAAGGAATTTTCTTTCTAAGAACAGCCACTGGTTGAGGCAGTATTTGATGCCTAATAAGCATGGAAAGAAACCTGAAAAAGAGGGGATGGAGTAGCCCACTTGATTTTAGAAACAATTAACCTTCCCAGGTCAGAAAAATGAATAAAACAATCAAGTAAAGACACAAAATTTTTCCTCAAGTAATCCAAATTAAAAAGGAGAAATCATTTTCAAAATTCTTCAAGCTTTAAAAATTCATTATTTCCTAGCTTTTTCAAAAACTCAAGAAAATTATGCTTATTTACAAGAAAGCAATAGAAGATATCCAACATTTAGAAGGATGTCTAGTGTTAAGATATATTGTACACATTTTTGAGATGTTGGAAACTTCAGTACTGACCTTGGCAGTTGTAGTGCCAATATATTACCACAAATATTAGCACTGCCACTACCAAATATGATTTTCTTGCCACTACCACTACCCCTACAAAAAATACTTTCTTCTCACTACCACTACCAAAAATTTTTTCTTCCCAATACCGGTAGTGGAAACTGTAAGTGGACTACTTGAGAACCCTGGGTTCCATTTATCAGGGTTCAACATATATTTAGTGCATTTAGACGAAGTCGTAGGAACAACGGGAGTTTCTCAATGGAAGGTCAGAAATTACATTCGTTTTCAATGATAAGGGCTTTAAAAAAAAGACAGTTTCTCACCAAGAATGAATCCGTGATTCAGCAGATTGAAGAGATACTCTTCGTGAAGAAAATACAGATTTAATGCAGCAAGAAAATGGTACAAAGCTGAAGCTTCAGGATTTAAAACACACAAATCTCACATCTTAGCATCCAATTTCTCTTCACATACACTTCGTAAAATTCACTCAAAATACGGGCTCGAAATAAAAATTAATAAAAAAAATGAATGAACCGTGTTCGAAGCAAGGCTGAACCACGACGAAAGCCATCCGCGAATCACGTTGATAACTCGAAAATTAATCACAATTAAAATTGCCAAAAAAAAACACAAGGATATCATTAATTTGTTACACGAAATTCGTTAATGTTATACAGCTTCTCTGTCGTGCGCTGGTTCAACAGGGAGAAACCAAAATCCAATGCACCATGCTTTAAAACGATGATGGACAGAAATCCAGGATGGATTCAGTGGGGTATTTTGAGAGAAAATCGAAGGCTTAAACCCATGGCCACACTCAGCAAACGTTGTTCCACAATTTCGGGAGAAAACTGGTTCCTCCTACATTCTCGTCTAGCTGCTTGGTTTCACTGTTCATCCTTCTCCATGGCACCGTGTTTCAGGATGCGGGTGAATTCCACGTAATCGAACATTCCATTCTTGATAGGTGCCTCACGATACATTTCATCAACCTGAACATGCAAATAATTTGTAAAACGTTACATTCTTTCACAGTGAAGCTCAGGATTCACAACATCTAGTTCAGTTATCAAGACATTTTTGGATTACCACATCTACTCAAATACGGTACCACAAATGCCCTTTCTTCAGAAGTTGAGGTGGAAAAAAGGGTGCACCTGACACCTGAGGATACACTTTTTTGAGGGGAAATTAAAAAAAAATCAGTGTGGAGCAGATGTAAGTATTTGTAGGGTCCTTTTTTTATTGCAGAAAAAATGGAGAGGAAATGGGCGGTGTCAAGTCTCCGTGTCCCTAGGAAAAAATGGTTCGAACAATAACAATTTTTGGAAGGCAGGTGGACTCTGTCCGCAATTAAATTCACGAGACCAGGAAAAGTACAGTATTCGTAAAGAGCAACTTGTTGTAGGGAAGTCCACCTGTATTACTTGATGGCAGCAAGAATCATTTCTCCCATAGCATGCACACTCCTCTTTTCCTCTTCATTTCGAAAGAAAAAAAAATTATCTGGTACTTGATCTAATATGCTTCAACTCATGCTATAATCATTGATCACCTTAAAAGAAATATATATTTTAGAGTATATCCATTGTTTCAAAAATCAGTTGTCGCGTCTGTCTACTGTGGATTCCGTTATTACACTTTGTATTCAAGAATTCAATTTGCTAGCCTAGTGAATCATAGACTGATGATACTTCATTGCCTATGCTTCCCCTTAGCTTGAAAACGTGTTCCTCAAGATTGCGATTACAGTATCTTTCTGAAACTTGAGCCATACAGCAGTTATTCCATAACTTTCACTGGTAAGAAAAGCTCTTTCAAGTATTACAGGAGTATTTTAAAGGGGGACATCCTTTAGCTCAGTTGATTTTCTGGGATCAACCCACATGTCCAATGTGAAGATTGACGGACACACCACTATAACGCAGCACGAACAAACTTTCATGCATCAATTTAGTCACATGGAACCAGCTGACACATTTGAATTGACGCTCACAGCACTTTCTCTAGAAAATTCAGTTTGATCAGGTACAGATGCGCTTCACACGGTATGAACGACGAACAGCACAATTTGCACCCAATTTAAGACATTAAGCATAGCTTCCCCCCTCCCATGTAACTTCCACAACGATCCTTTGTAAGCCGCCCATCAGAAGGACGGATGAAAGAACAAGTGCGGTAACATCTTTATCTACGCATGTGCTTATCCAAGCGAGAAAATTTTCGGTATATAGCGTAAAAATCACACGCTGATACTTCACGTACAGAAAGCCACGTTACATCCTAATTGCCCAGTAGATCCGGTACCAATGTACTTGAGACAGAGGGGAAGCTTCAACTAGTACACTCAACCGAAGGAACAAATGTACATACATCATCATCAGTGAAACGCTCGCCCATGGATATCAGCAATTCCCGAAGGCGATCTTCATGAACCAAACCACTGCTCTCCTCGTCAAAACATGCGAAGGCATTCTTGATCACCTCTTCAGGATCAGTTCCTTGCAAACGTTCCCCAAATAGCGTCAAGAACATCGTAAAATTAATTGGCCCAGGGGCTTCATTCATCATTGCCTCCAGGTACTCATCGGTGGGGTTCTTGCCTGAAAAAACCAACGAAAATGAACATTTCTTTGGGAACAACGAGAATCACCATACCCAAAGACGCTAGCATGTCATGCAAATCTTCTTTGTCGACAAATCCGTCCCTATTCTGATCAATCATGTTGAAGGCTTCCTTGAATTCCTGAATCTGAGCCTGATCGAACATCGCAAATACATTGGAAGTTGCGCGTTGGGCTCGTTTCTTCGTTGTTCCACGGCGTCCAGCTGTTTTTCGCGAAGACATTTTGCGTTAGAACACGACCAATGTGTCGAAATGCTGCACTTATGTCCCGAACAATTCCCTGGAACAGCCGAAAAAGGAGATTATATTTACGTTCATCATTCCTTCTTCACGGCATATCGCATTTCTCCTTTTTCCCCTTCGGGTACAGAAATAAATATGATTCCTTCTTCTCGTATGTTCACGTTCCGTACATCCCCATTCCTCAGTTCTCGCTTCACTCCCATAAATCCTCCCACCACTTACCGTTTCTCATAGGATAATCCTCTCTTACAAAACAAATGGAATCTTATCGGCTGTGACTTTCCACACTCCTGCCATCTACGAGGGGCAGAGGAAGTCAACATGTTCAAACTCTGGCGGGAGTGAATGAACCTAAGACATGAGTTTGAGAACCCTGGCCTCTGAGCGAACTAAAGTAGAATATACCTGCAATCAAGTAAATTTACCTAACCCAGAGGAATCACTAGGAAGAGATATTAAACAAAGGTATCCCAAGTACAGCATTTGACAAGAGTCCTTGACATTTCTGCAGGATCCTTGTACAGGAGAGGTGACCCACCGAAAAGTTCAGGCGCGCAGCCTTGACTTTCGAAACTCACGACATCTATGATTAAATCATGAAACTATGAAACTCTCCAGCATCACTGGCCAGTGGCCATCCCATTTACTTCTCTATATTAGGACCAGTTCATAATGACGACGACTTCCGAGAAACTGTGAATTTTATTTTTCAGCATTCTGCTAAAACCGATTTGTGGGGGGAGGGGGGGGAGGCGGTTAGGTAAAGTTAGGTTAGGTTACGTCATGTTAGTTAGAAGACATTTGCAACTAACATAGCCTGACCTGACCTAACTTTACCTAACCATCCCCCGAAGTCAGTTTCAGCAGAATGCGAAAGAATGGATTTACAGTCTCTGGTAATTTGTCCTGCTTATGAACTTGTTGTAATGCCCGGGAGTACAGTGCTGCTGGGAATCACTGGCTAGTGTAGCTGGAGAGAAGTACTTTTTAATCAATAGGAGTTTCATTTTACCGGTAGATGTCACGTTTGTATGACGCGCTTGAACTGTTCTGGTGGATCACCCCTTCGTGACGCGACCTTAGTTACACTTCCACTCAACGCCACTTCATTTAACGCTACCTCTTTCAAGCCACCCCTAGGAGCGCCAGCCTCTCATATCATTGAGTGACTTTGACTGCAATGCTTTTGAGGTGTAAAATGTAAATGGAGACTCCGAAGGACAAATAACATAGTGCACATATACAAACCCCTTTTTTAAAAATAACTATGTTACTTTCCTGTTATCTAGTTAGAACATGTTCATAATCACTGTGACCTACCAGAAACTGTGAATTTTATTTTTCTGCATTCTGCTGAAACTGATTTTGGGAGGTGGTTAGGTGAAGTTAGGTTAATTTAGGTCATGTTATGTTAGTTACAAATATCTTTTAAATAACATAACCTTACCTAACCTAACTTTACCTAACCGCCTCCCAAAATCAGTTTCAGCAGGAATTAATTCTTTAAAAAAAATAATTCTTTTCTGGCCATGTTTGGAAGTTATTTGCACAAATCAGTGGTAGTGATGGAATACCTTTGATTGTGTTAACCATTTTTGGCCCCAACTAAATACTACTCATAAAATACAAGAATAAAACAATACAAATGCTGCAAGTTCATGTATTGAATCGTATGTTATCCTCCTACACCATTATTCAACATGCAATTGCAAGCATGCGCAATTCATGGAGTCACTCATTCCGGGCGTTGAAGGATGGAGTGGAAGCAAACATCCCTCTAGGAAGGCAGCGTGGAAGTTAGCAATGGCGTTGAGTTGGAAAGTGTACCATAACGTCTGGTTGCCTCACCTCTCCTGTACAAGTGCTGACGGAATTGAAGTGACCTGCACACCCAGGAAGTATTGATTCATGGAATATCAGTCAGTTGATTGTTATTTGTGTGGTTGACTTTTCCAAAGCCTCATGCTGAAGCGCGATTTTTTATATGTCCTCCGCAGACCATTTTTCCCGTCATCAAGTATGTTACCGAAATGTTTTCTGTTGGCCTTGCTTCTTTCGGCTTCCGTAGTATTTGTGCATGCCCAAGATGAAACGAATGAGGACCCGTTAGAGGCTGAGACCGAACAAAATCCTGGAGAAACCCCAGACGATGACACACCCAAATTTTCGGCTTCGGAAGATGCCGAAACGACAATACTCTTCATTTCTCCCGTATTACCCCCGGAAACCTCAGTTGGTATGTCCGAAGAACAGCCCTTGGATGCAAAGTTGCTAATGTTATCCGGACTTCTTGTTTTTGAAGAACTTCCTGCTGGAAAGCCAGTTGAAATCATCGTTGGCTTCCACAATAAAGCGAATTACGATTTCATTATTGATTCCTTGGATGCCTCGTTCCGCTTCCCGATGGATTACAATTATCATATGCAAAATTTCTCGTCGTTGTCCTGCGATTACACCATCAAACCTGGACAGCAAGGATCTTTTCTGTACGGATTTGTACCTGCTGAAGCTTTCGGGTCCCGTTCTTACGGACTGAATGTGCGGCTGACTTACCACGATTTGGTTTGTGTCCGTGTTGTAATTTCTAGTGCGTCCAAATTCTGTCTTATCCCTGTCTTGTGCAGAACGGCAATTACTTCACAGATGCCGTTTTCAATCAAACCATCCCCATTGTGGAACTTGATGAAGGCCTAGATGGGGAGACCTTCTTCCTCTACCTGTTCCTTGGGGGTTTGCTGGTTCTTCTGGCAGTTGTTGGCTCCCACTTCCTATCGTGGGGGAAAAAGAAGACTTTGGGATCCAGCAAATCATCAAAGCCCCGCGCAGCCGTTGTTGAAACTGGTACAAAGAAAAGCGATGATATTGACTTTGACTGGATACCTAAGGAAGCAATTCAGGAGATGAGTAAGTGATGAGTTGGGAAGATGAATTTGAAGTCTAATTCTATACCTTCTTGTATATCTTCCTCTAGCTTTGATTGTGTTCAATTTGCTTTAGGCGTGCGGGAAAACATCTTAAGATTGTTACCATTTGATTTTCTTTCCAGATCGTACACCAAAAACTCCTACTCGTAGTCCAAAAGCAAGAAAGGCCAAACAAGCTGCCAGCAGTGATGATGAATGATACTAATGGTTTTCAACCATTTCGTGTGCCCATTCCATGAAGCGTAAGATTTCTATGCTTTTTGCCTGTCATGGTAATTTTTATAGTTTATCCGCGAGTGTTCCTTTTGTATGTTTGTCGCGAATGTTGCTCAGCTTTGCGTGGTGATGTTATTTTCCTTGATATTCTTGATGAAAGGGTGCGTTGTGAGATGGTTAATGAGCGTTGACTGCTGTAAGCAGGATCTATGGAAAATTGAAAAGATATTTATTTCTCCAAGAAAATCTTATATCCGGTTATTTCCATGGACCAACTGAGGTCTGAGGGATGGTGATTTGTGAATATGCATGAGGGTTGTTTGAATACTCGTTCTCTGGTTGAATTGCTTCATTCGTTGAAATTTGTTCTCTTTGTTCATGTCTTTGAATGAGCAGTAATTGAGTTAACTGGAAATGTGGTGTGACTGGATTTCTCCAACACTTCATTTTGATTCCCCGGGAGAAAGTCTTGACTCAATCCTCGTGCGTACCGTGATAATGGAACCCTTGACGATTACGAGATGAATTGAACATCCTTTTGTGCCAATGATCAATAATTTCCCTGCATTATTTTATCCAGGGAAGTAGTGTGATTTTTTTCGGATGCCGTTGAAGCATCTTCGGAGTGTTCTTGATCCTCAGGTAAACTGAATTAATCTGTATTCCCGATATTTTGCATGCTCTACGTTTGTTAAATTTGTAATTTTCGAAAAAAAAGCTTATATTTGAGTGGTGTGTGCACGATGCATTGAGTAGTTGTCTAATAAGTAGTTGCTGAAGCGATCTAAAGCCCTCGTATCTAAGGCCAACTCGCTGTCACGTTCGTCACATACTGTACTCAAATCTTCCTTCTCTTCGAAGACTTCTGACGCTAAACTTATGATTTGAAGTGCTTCAGGTGCCATGATTTCGTCGATAACTTTGTCCATGGATCACTTCCTTATTTTACTTGTGAGCTACCATGCATCTATTATGAATAAGTGCACTTGGCAGGAATCGTTCCGAAATTGCTAAGACGAATCATAGGTTAATGTGGTCGCCACCGCTTCGTCAGATTGCGGTTGACCTACGCCTCTAAAATGTCAGGCGCTTCAAGCATTCAAATGATTACTTCTAGCATGAGTTTGTGGCGAGGGTTGGTCGACTGGTTCATCGTTGTTTCTATCCTGATGTCTTGAATAATGTAGGAGAAGGAAGCGCTGGAGCTCTTGAGATTCTTCCTCGTAAATATTGCCGGAATAATAAACAAATTGAATGTTTCGTATGTACCATCTTCGTTTTCTCAATTTTTGGAAGGGATCACGTGAGCCTATCATTGTTCTTGTAGAATTGGATGTGACTGAAAGGTTATCATTTCTGCATCGTTACCTCTACTCATTCCCATGTATCATATTGAATTGGCCCCACGAACGGCTTGTCACGCACAACATAGTATTTACACCTGTGGCAATTTTCTGTAACAGCCGCGGAATCACATTTGCACAGCTTCGAGAAGATTCGGTCGACGTCGCTGCACGCACAAGCACATTAAATTCTAAGTGTGTGGGTTCGGCGTGTCAAGTGTTGCATTATCAATCAGGATGGCGCAGCGAAGATCGTGTGCATCGCTTGGGCACCGAACAATGTCAAATTCGCTGTTGGAACAGTCGATCGCATGGTTCTTTTGTTCGACGAAGCCGGCGAGAAGAAGGACAAATTTCCTACCAAACCTGCGGATGCGAAGGTAAAGTACTGTATATGAATGTACGCAGTAGAATCTTATCAAGTCGAATATCTCCCTTGTCGAATGTCGTTTATTCCCTGTCTGGGTTCCCCGTAGAGACAATGCGTTAGAAACCTCCTTAACTCGAAGGCTTTTCTTTCAAACCTCCATTACACGAATTTCTCGAGTCCTTCTGGATATTTATTATTGACACAGGAAAGAGAAAAGAAAAATGCCTGTAACAATGTGTTTTAAAAGGAAGTAAAAGACTAATTTGGCGAATTAATTTGTGCCCCTGAGTTCTGGGTTCTGTCAACTCATTTAAGAAGCAATTCAAGGCCCAGAAATTTAAGACCTATCATGATTTCTAGTACTGTACTGTATTTACTCAAGTACCACACGCCCTCGAGTAAGGCGTGCACAGGGGTTTTTCTGTTGGAAATTTGGCTAAAATCGTATCCCTGAGTAAGACCTGCACCCTTAATTTTAGTGAATCTAAAATCAAAAAATTTCAAAAATTAAAACAGAAAATCGACTTTAGACATGAATTGAACAAAAATCTGATCAATTTTCAACTTTTTCAGTACCAAAAAGTTTTCTTGTTACATTTTTTCAAAATTTCTCCATTATAATTAAGTATAATGCACACATAACTTCCTAAAACTTCTGTAATAATTTGTACCCACTTATGACATGCACCCCTTTTTTTCTTCTAAAATTTGAGAAGAAATGGTGCGCGTTGTACTCAAGTAAACAAGGTAATTTCCTATTTCTCCCTGCACAAATGCCCTCTTCCCTAGCTTGTAACCTCCCTAAATCAATTCGTTTCGCAGGTCCCTTGAAGTTCGACTGAAAGAAGTGACTTTTTTCATTGATTAGTTGAGTGGTGAAAATTAAACTTGAGTGGTATTTTGCATTCATTGGTAGTTCGGTAAGAAGAACTACATGGTACGAGGACTCGCTTTCTCTCCTGATTCAACCAAAATTGCTGTTGGTCAGACGGATAACATCATTTACGTGTACAAGATTGGCGAAGACTGGTATGGAGTTCCGTTAATATTGCTCATAGCTTCAATTGCAAGTGTTTTCGTTTGTATCATTTCTTGATTAGGGGTGAGAAGAAAGTGATCTGCAACAAGTTCGTGCAAAGCGCCGCCGTGACGACGATGATTTGGCCGTCCGAAGGTCCGATCGTTTACGGTCTAGCGGATGGTAAAGTTCGTGCTGCTGACGTGAAAACGGGAAAGTCACAAACATTGTATGGAACAAATTCGTTCGTCTGCGCTTTGGCACCAAGGTTCGTACTTGGGGAAAGTCATTTTTGGTTGTCGATTGAACGCTGATTTTTTTGTGAATGACGCTTTGATTTTCTGTGTTTAAGTAAGTTTTTCGTTATTTCGGACTTTTTGTTTTATTTCCTGTAGTCCCAATGGACGAGCCTTTTTGTCAGGTCATGCGGATGGAACTGTGGTTCGCTGCTACGTCGCTCAAGATGATAATCCCATGCCCCAGGTAAGTCTTGTGGTTTCTCCAACCAGGGAGTAGCATTGATTTTCTGCATTTTTTGTGGCAAATCAGTGAGATGGAAGAATACCGTATGTACCGAACGAATGAAGCGCTGAAAAGCGGGTGTGTTATCAGTTCATAGTTCTATCTTGCGTTTATTACGTGTGGAGAGAACCTGTTCCGAAAGACAGAATGCTGAGTCAAAAGTGGGGTTATGAATCCGATAGTATTAATTTGTTCAATTTATTCCTCCTCTACATTTTCCTTATTTATTCCGTTTTCATTGCATAAAATTGTCAATGTTGGGAATGAAAGGTCTCCACAAGGTAAAATTGTATTGAAAGTGGATCTTTCAACAAGGAAACTAATGAGAAGAACTGAAACACGACTTTGACATGGGGACAAAGCTGGAAATCCCTTGAGGATTTCTAATTGAGAAGATTTCTGAACTGTTCTCAAATTTTTCCTAAGGAAAAATATGAAGGACAATAAACTTTAAAATCTCAGCAAACTTCTAAGCACTTCACTCCTGATGATTTTTAAAATCTGATTGACCTGTATGGAATGAGAAAAAATGCTTTTATTATTAATTACTCTCAATGTCCTTGATTGTAGGACTGGATGATTATTTTCTGATACAGTACTAAGAGGTATTTGATTGGCCTAGAAATTCGAAGTAAAAAATTGCAGCCCCTGGTCGCACACTTTTTGGGAAGGGATTATCCCGTATTCATTCAAGTAATGAATCATGTGCCTTCAAGCAAGACATGCACTCAAATCTGTAGTGAGAAATTCATTCGAAAACCAGTCTTCCTGTGGGACTGGCTGCCCAGTTTATTGGCTGTGACTGAAAATCAAAAATTGCAAAATGTTTTTTCGTTCGTGGATCCATTTTTCCTCATTCATATTTTCTCCTTCCTTTTTCGTACGGTCTGCGGGAGCAGTTAAAATATGCTTGCAACATGTGGTAGCTTCTTCAGTTGGATGAATATTTCCCCCTCCCTTCAATTCCTGTTACATTTTTCATGTTTGACTGATAAGCATTCCTAAAATTGTTATTGCTTGAACCATTATTTCTCATGGAGAAGGAGCATTGAGGCCACACATTTCCTCTCATTTTCTTAGATGTATGTGCTCACATTTCTGTGAGGGGTACTGATTTCGGGAATTTTACCTTGTAAAATGTATGCCTGGGTACCAGGTGCAATTTATGTTTGCCCCTCAATTCCCGGCAAAAAGGTGCACTTCGTACTCGAGTGAGTACGGTAGTATTTCATGGTAATGAAGAGCTTGCGTGGAGTGTTCAGCAATATTTTCGTGGATATGCGAGTAATACTTGAGAAACTTCATATGAAAACATTTCTCCAGGGGAAGGTGATTTCACACGGAGTCCCACCCTATGCTTTGGTATGGGCTTCAAACCACATCTTCGTTGGCGGATGCGACAAGAAAGCAGCGTTTTTCACGTTTGACGGGAAATTAGCTCAAGCCTTCGACTATAGCCGAGATGCAAGTGAGAAAGAGCTGACGGTGGCTGTGTGTTCACCGTCGGGACAAAGCGTCGTTGTTGGCAGCTACAACAGGATCCGACAGTACAATTACACTCCGAGCAGGGCCACGTGGGACGAAGCCCCGAAAAAGGATTTGCCTAATTTGTACACCATCACGTCGTTGGCGTGGAAACGAGACGGATCGAGAGTTCTTTGTGGCACTCTTTGCGGGGCTGTTGAAATGTTCGATTCAGTCATGAAGTGAGTGAAATTTCCTTTGATCAATGTGTGATCCCATTGCGTATTGTTACGATCTATTGCAGTTGAATGTCGATTGCTCGAACCTCCGAAAGTCAGAAACCTCCATATTTGTATTTTTGAAAGTTACTGTCTGAAGTCCATTGTAAATAATTAATTGAAAACCTGCATAGCTCGAAGGCCCCTCAAACCCCCATGAATTGAATTTTCTAGAGGCCTTTTGGGCTCTTGGCTTGCTCTTTTTTTCTTTGCAAAGGAAAGAGAAAAAAAAAAACGATGTGTTTTGAAAGGAAATGAAAGACTAATTGGGGGAATGAACGCTTGCCTCCAAGTTCAGCTTCCTGTCAACTCATTGAAAAAATCAATGTATGGAAGAAAATATCACCGATTACCAGTTCCTGTGATCCTTCTTTCTTTCCCCAAACAAAATGCCCTTCTCCTTTAGTCACACTGTTTTCCTGGTCCCCTGTGGTTTGACTTCAGGAGGTTTGCCGGTACTCTTCATCAACTCATTAATGTAATTCCATCGGTTTATGCCTATTTTTAACTCGTTTATTCAGTATGCGATTGATTTTTGTTGCTCATTGAATGCATATTTTTAGAGATGTGGAAGATGATCTTCGTAAGATATACACAACTGCAATTAAACCTTTCCGTTGTCCGAAGCCTTCTTTTTTGTTTTTGTTTAAGAATTTGAAAGATTTTTGCGAGATTTCAACATTCGGTTTTTAGTTCAAAGTGATCGCAGTTACAATTGGAGAATGGAATGCTGGGATGCCTCTCCGGGAAAACAATGGAAAAGATTTGACGCGGCTAACGGGTGAAATATCAAATATATACGCATCAAGTTGGGTTCTTATCGATGAATGCCTTCTTCCAGATGTAAATGCAAATTTACTTGATTTCTACCTCTCTCGTTCATTGTTCGTATGTTTTTTGTTTGTGTTTTTCAGACGCTCCGTTCTGAACAACCGATGGGAAATGACATTCGTTGGTCCGAGTCAAGTATTGATTAAGCCGTTGCAAGGCAAGGGTCGAGGAGTCATTCTCAAGTCTCAGTACGGGTACGAAATCGAGGATGTGAAGATCATGGGTCAGGACAGGTACTTGATGGGGAGAACGACGGAAACTTTGCTGTTGGGAGACTTGCAGCGGAACTTGCTCAGCGAAGTTATCTGGGTGTCCACGGGAGGAAACGAAAAGTTCTATTTTGAAAATGAAAACGTTTGCATGGTGTTCAATGCTGGGGAACTGAGCTTGGTGGAGTACGGGAATAATGAAATCCTCGGCTCTGTGAGGTTAGTTGGAAAGAGCGTCGATGCCTTGATGATTATGCAGTGGAATCACGCTGCAACACACTTTTGGGGACTTCCAGCAACATTTTATTGTTCCGAATACTTTGTTGAGATGAGATTTTCAAAATTAAGGAGTATAAAAAATCTTATCAGATCTGCCGAGGATCAATTACATCATTCTTTTCTCTCATGTTCTCACTTTTCTGTTTTTGAAGAACTAGTGATGTTTTGAAAAAAAAAAAGTGGCTTCAATCATGCATTCCATCAGTTTCACCTGTCTCTTCATTATGTAATGAAGATGTGTGGAACCACTTGGATAAATGTTTGTCGTTGATCACAGCTTTCATGGAACAATAACCAGTCCGTCACATTTGGGATTGGAAATTTTAGTCGAATTCTGCATTAGTCAAAACATTTCTACATAGAGAAATTATCAGACGCTCCTCAGAAAGATCGTAATGAACAGGAATCAAGAAGTTTGTTATGAGCATAACGAGATTGTTTCAACATGTACTTTCTGCCAAGACTTGAGAACAATTTTGTTGTAATGAAAAATATGTTGTAATAGTATGTAGTAAGAAGGATTGAGTGTATTCTTCGCTTACGAAAAAGAGAATATTTTTTCTAGTTACAGTACAGTTTATTGGGTAAGCCGTGGAAGTGCATAGAAATCGATTTAAAATTTTAAAATCTGCTCAGAAATAGAACTGTTACAGCTGGAAAATGCTCACATGACAAATGAAGGCATAATTTTCGGGAACCTTGAAGCAGGTGACTTCATTAATGATTTTGAGTTGACTTGAGTTGCAATTTCGCTGTTCATTGTTAACAATTGCACGAAATGAGAGAATCGCTGCGATGTTTTTTGGAGGAGATGAAAATATTGATAAATATTTGTTCTTCATTGCTATTTTTTCCAATTTTACGGTTTTTCTTCGTTCAGCACCTTGCGTTCCGCTCGAAATTCGACAAATCTCTCATGATCGGTCCCGAAAGTTGCTTTGCGAGAATTTTTTCTTCAAGACTTTTGATGGTCAACTTATGAGTTGATGTTTCCGAAAACGTTGTACCCGATTGCTCGGGAATCGGAGCATTAGTGCCTGAATGTTCGTCGCGTGTTTATGAATTTCCATTTTTTTTAGAACCGAGTTCATGAATCCACATCTCATCAGCGTGCGGATCAACGAAAGGAAACAGCGTGGCGTGGAAGAAAACAAGAAGCTTGCATATTTGCTGGACCTGAAAACTGTTCGCGTTGGTTTGTATCCTTGATTGACTGATGAAAAAAAATGCAGAAGTCCTCTGAACTTCATTCTGAATTTTTAGTTGACCTTGCATATGGGATGACTCTCGCAGAAATTAGCCATGATTCCAAGTTGGATTGGCTAGAACTGAATGAAACTGGCACAAAGTTGCTTTTCCGTGATAAACGACTGCGCTTGAACCTGTTCGACATGGAATACCAAGAAACCGTTTCGCTGCTAAACTACTGCACTTACGTTTCGGCGAGTTTATTGCAGTGTCCGTATCAACTCGAGTACGACGCGCACTTTTTTTCTCAAATTTGAGAGGAAGAAAGTGTGGTGCGTGTCATAGAACAGATTTTTCAAAAAGTTTATAAAGTTGAACGCGCATTATACTCGATTCTGAATGGATGTTTTGAATCAAATTCAGCATAAAAACGTTTGAATGAAACTAGTTGAAAATTGGTCGAATTCTTGCTTAATTTAGGTCTAAATCCAAAGTTGGGTGTTTTCATTTTTGAAATATTGAAGTTCTGGAGTCCCTTAGAATGGGTTGCACGTCGTACTCGAGTAAAAGCGGTATTTCGAATTCTCCTTCGGAATTTGCGATGATATACATTTTTTTCAAACCAGTGGGTTGTTGGCAGTGACGTTGTCGTCGCACAGAATCGGGAAAATCTCTGCATATGGTACAACATCGAAGTCCCGGATCGAATGACCATGTATCCCGTAAAAGGTTCAGTTGTCGACATCGAACGTGCTGATGGGAAAACTGAAGTAAATTATTAATTGTTGCGTTTCGTGTTATACAAAATGTTGATCGACTGTATTTTTCTAGGTCATCGTGAAAGAAGGAAGCCACCAAGTGAGCTACCAACTGGATGAGGGTCTGATTGAATTTGGCACTGCGGTGGAAGATGGGGATTTCGGACGTGCTGTCTCCTTTCTGGAAAGCCTTGACGAAGAAACTCCGGAAGCTGAGGCCATGTGGAGAACTTTGGCGAAACTTGCTCTTGATTCGCGTAATTTGGCTGTTGCTCATCGGTGTTATGCTGCTTTGGGAGACGTGGCAAAATCTAGGTATGTATTACGGAGAAAACAGTAAAATCTCGTTGCAATGAAGCCATCGCGATTAGTGTAATAAATTCGTTGTAACGAAAACTTCGTCATGAAGTACCTTATATAACATTGTGGCTATATTGGACAGGAAACTAAGAAACCAATTCGTTGTGAGCGGTTATTCGTTAGAACGAGATACAAATGTACTTTGTTTCACTGCAGATGGAACAAGTTTTCTGTTTATTCATTTGGAAATACGAATGAAGCTCCGGGTCGCTTCCGAGATCGACGTGAAATTATCCTCTTAATTTGATGTACAGTCGTTTTATGTTTCCGTTGAAGACTGACCCCGACGAAAGATCTCTTGATTCAAGCTTTGCAAAAGAATTTACAGTCGTCCGTTATTAAAATTTACTTGTACCGTATTTTTGTACTTCTGGTCGTCCGTCTCGGTAATGCTAATGTTGTTTTTGTGTGTATAAATTGTATCGTGGAGGTGCCCAAAAATCAGGGTTAGGCTCGTTTAAAAAAAAGTATTACCTTGTGGCAGAAGATGCGGACGTAATTGGTGCTTTTACCATGTCACTATGTTGGAACGTCAGAATGTCAGATCACGTTTTCCCTTTGACTTCGATGGGAATATAATTAATTGGTTTTCTTCTTGATCAAAAATTAGGAAAAGTCCTCCAAAAACTGGAATAAAATAATTTTTCTCGACTTCAAAAATGGAAGTGCAGAAGAAAGCCACACATAGTGCGATCCTTGGGCATGAAAAGGAGCCCAAAAACCGAACAAGCACAAGTTTTCCTATATTTTGCACAGATGCCGGAAAGAAACTCGGGAAGTATAAGTACAAAATCAGTCGATGAAATAAATAGGCTCAATTTGTTTAACAGGTATCAACATTTTGAAGGAACAAAATTGTTCCGCGAAGTTTCCATATCTCAAGACATGTCTAGATTTTTTAGCAGATTAAAAAAAACTTTCAATTTTCCTGAAGTCGATTCGTCCGTATGTCGAATCATCCTTAGGTCGGAACTCCGCTGTTTTTTTTTCTTTTCGATTCAGCATACTGTTATGTCTGCGTGGATCTTTAATTAATAGAAATCACCATGAGAAACTTGATCGTTTTCAGATACCTCATGCACATGAACGAAGTTGCGGATGCTGCTGCGGAGCAGATTGGTGGAGAAGGAACCCAGTTTTTTGGGGTTCGAGCCATGATGGCCATTTTGGAGAAGGATTTCAAGGCTGCTGAAGGCATCTATCTGGAACAGGGTCAAGTCAATGCTGCGATGGAGATGTATCAGTCGTTGCATCGCTGGGATGACGGTTAGTTGACCCTACGAACTTGAACAAATCACGTCTAGAAGCCCTTGCAGTTGTGAATTACAATTTTCCTCACCTGCCGTCCAAATTGTTGATCAATTTCTTGTCTCCAGCCTTGCAGTTGGCTGAAGCCCGAGGTGTCGAAGACATGGCGGAGTTGAAAGATTCATACATGAAGTGGCTCTTGGAAACTGGTCAGGAGGAAAAGGTTGGGCAGATGTACGAAACTGCTGGAGACTACAGAGAAGCTATCAACATGTACCTCAGAGCATCTTTGCCCGCGAAAGCTGCCAGGTGAGGTTTTCTCTTGGAAACTTCCACATTACTAGCGGTCTGATTTTTTTGTGAGTGGCCTCACATTGCGAGATTCACCATAAAGATGATGTTTGATTTTTCGAACGGGGTTGATGCTTCCCTCTACGAGTGAGGGTGATCGATCATGTTTAAGAGTTTAGTGATGCCGCAAGATATCCAAAGAAATTGGAAGTGTTGGATGTAGTTGTGAGCGATATACTGTACGCAAAAGGTTCTCTTCAAGAAGAGACGTATTTATGTATGATCTACAATCATAAAAAAGTGGCCAATGGAATTTCCAGAAAAACTCAATTTCCGAGTGTCAAAAATACAATTTCATCGTATCAAAGGTCTCACAAAAAGTTCTCCTGACAGACTTTTGCTACCTATGCTCGATTACTAGAATACGAATGAAGTACTGTGATTAAATTTTCTGAGAGACTGACTTTTACTCGAATACCAACAATGCACGTTCACTTTAGCCTTAGTCTCAGCACAAAGAGGAATCAGATCAAAAATAAAACATAAATAAACCAGTTAGCGACGTGCAAGTACAGTATCTCATCATATATCTGATAACAATTACAACAGGTTTGTGAAAAATAGAGATGAAATAATTTTGTTAGGGTGTGATATCTTGACCAAGGACACGATTAGGAATGAGGGGGACATGTTTTCACTTCGCAGTTACATGTTATCCATCATTACTAGCATCATCATTAATTTACTCATGCTGTGTAGATTTTTATGAACCATCACCATGTGTACGAGAGGACCTTGAAGATGTCATCCGCGGATCTTTCTAGAATTTTGAACATGATGCCCAGGTGTGGCTGGGCAACCCAGCTTTTAAAGATTAAGTCATTCTGATGCCGTTGAAAAAAAAGCTTTTTTAATTCTCCATGAATCCATTTCCAGGATATCTGGATTATAATATTGAGGCCAATATATACATAGCTTCGATCTTGGCTGGGTAACTTTCAGTGAATCACTGGAATAAAAGGTCGTTGATCTAGTATTGCTCTATCCCCTATGGCAGACATACTGTAATCTTATATAATTTCAAGTCACCAATTACTTTCAAAATAAAAATGATCGAATAATTTATAATATCCACAGGTTAGCTTTGTCCAGTGAGGATTTGGTTAATGACATGGAACTGATCCAACGCATCGCTGGAGGCCTACTAAAAGGAGAATTCTATGAAAAAGCCGGCGACCTTTACGAACGCGTCAATGATGAACAAAAGGCAATGGAATGCTATAGCCGAGGCAAAGCATTTGGAAGAGCCGTTGAACTTGCTCGACTCGCCTTTCCTTCAGGTTCGCCTTTCTATCAACACGTTTATAGTCTGATTCGTCCATTCGAACTGATTGATTGATATACGCAGAGGTTGTTACGTTGGAAGAGCAATGGGGAGACCATTTGATGAGCATAAAGCAATTGGACGCTGCCATCAATCATTACATCGAGGCTGGCAACACTGTGAAAGCGTTGGATGCAGCGATTGCCAGTCGTCAATGGAGACGAGCTGTGCAAATCATTCAGGTAGATTCAGCAAACAAATTCGAGCCAGTGAGATTTTCAGTTTGAGAAACGAGCATTTTTGTTGGGGGAGAAGAATAAATTATGCAGGAAATTTGTAATTGGTGATATTCTGGGCTCGAAATCGGTTTTCTTGAATGAGTTGACTTGATGCTGAATTTGCTTGCCAAGGCTTTTTGCCCGATTGGTCTTCCACTTCCTTCAAAAACTCAATAAGTGAAATTTTCGCTGCTTTTATCTTTCCTGTGTCGATAAAACAATAGCCAAAATGCCTCCAGAAAATTTTATTAAGGGAGATTTGAAAGGGAAAGCGTTTATGTTGAAAGGTTTTTAATGCATCGCTTCTAAGGGAATTGAGACAGGGACTTAAAAAATATTCAACATGGCGGAGGTTTGAATTATTGAGGTTTTACTAAAGTAATGTATGACTAGTGTTCGTTTCGACTTCTCAAGTCAATTTCGTTGTTCCGTGCGGAAATTCCGCACCGCTCCCTATTTCAAAATTGATTTTCTATCCGAGAAATATTAAATTTTTTCATTTCTTTGTCCGATTTTAGGTCATTGACAACCCATCAGCCCTAGGAAAATACTACGGAAAATTAGCTGAGCACTTCACATCTATCGGAGATCTTCAAACAGCGGAGAAGTTTTATCTTGATGCCGGCCTGCACATGGATGCGATTGAAATGTACAACAAAGCTGGTACGTTAAATGAATTTAAATCCAAGGTCTTTAGTCAAGCAAAAGGTTTCTGATTCCTTGGTTGTTCAGGACAATGGGAACAAGCCCATAGGCTAGCTTCGAAGTACTTGAGAAGTGACGAAGTTGCTGAAATGTACATCACGCAAGCTCAGAATCTAGAGCTGCAGGGAAAATGGCGCGATGCCGAAAGACTGTACATTGCTGTTGCCGAGCCGGATTTGGCAATAACTATGTACAAGAATCATCATCAGTTTGATCAGGTACTTCATTCGTTCCGTTCGGGTCATGAATCATGATTTTTGAATCTGAAGTTTCACGAAGTCTTTTCGTTCGATTTTCAAATGGAATCGAACGCTTTAAACATTGATTTCCGATGCGTGGAAAGAATAGAGTCGTCAAAAGAACGCGTTGGAATCATTCTTTAAAAAAAAAAATGTTTTGTTATGTGATTTACAGATGATGAGACTTGTGTCACAGTACCATCCCGATCTTGTGGCTACAACACATGTCCATCTCGCGAAAGAATTGGAGAATGAAGGAACTTATCAGCAAGCGGAGAACCATTATGTTCAGGCACAGGAGTGGAAAACTGCCGTCAGCATGTACAGAAATGCTGAATTATGGGAAGATGCTTACCGGGTTGCCAAAAATCATGGTGGACCTCATGCAGGAAAACAAGTGGCATTTTTGTGGGCAAAATCACTGGGCGGAGATTCAGCTGTGAAACTCCTCAATAAGTTCGGACTATTGGAGCAATGTATTGACTATGCTTGCGAAGTTGCCCTGGTGAGGACATCCGGATTTCGTTGTTCATTTTTTTCTGATACAGTATACAGTAGGTTTATGGATTGGTTTAATTTTCGCAGTTCGATTTTGCCTTTGATCTGGCGAAAACAGCTATAAAAGGCAAGCTCCCAGAGATACATTATAAGCATGCGATGTCTTTGGAAGATGACGGGAAGTTCCAGGAAGCTGAAGGAGAGTTTATAAAAGCAGGGAAACCGAAGGAAGCCGTTTTGATGTAAGTCACGTTGAATTTTCATTTTTCACCTCAGAAGTTCGGTGTAATTGCATATGAATGTTTTAATTCGCTGTGAATTTTGATTTTACTGCATAGAAGTTTCTCTTATCCAGAAAATACAGTATTTAGGATTACCACGTGCCCTCAAGTTCAAACTTTGAGAAAAGACGTCACTTGATAATTTGTTTCCGACTATGACGCGAACCTCCTTTTTTGTCCCATTTTATCGAAAAATTGTGCGCATGGTACTCATGTACCACGCGCTTCAAAGTGGGGCGCCCTCAACTTTTGCCGACTGAAATGTGGATGGAAACGTATCCCCCGGTTAAACGCGCACCCCATTTTTTAGATGTGAAAATTCAAACATTTTCAAAATTAAATGCATAAGAATTTAAATTTCGACTTCGATAGTTGTTCTGGTGAACGTTAACTTTTTCATTAATTTTATTTCAGGAATTGTTAGTGTAGTTAGTGGTTAAAAATCCCCTGTTGGAATCAAGTACTGTATAAGGTGCACGAATGCTTCACAATTTTTCAAAAATCTTGTACACGCTATGATGCAGACCTTTTTTTCTGTCTTGATAAAAAAAAATAATTGTATGGTACTTCAGTAAGAACGGAAGGACATTTTAAAGTGTGGGATTCAATTTTAAATTTTCATTTGAAAAGTTTCGAGAGAGAGCCTTTGTTGGTAGATTTTCACTGACACTGCGAGGATGAAGGGGAATAAACTGCACGATCTCATGTGTGTTGCATTTCATCAGGTATGTTCATAACCAAGATTGGGAAAGTGCGCAGAGAGTCGCCGAAAGTCATGATCCGGACTCAGTTGGAGATGTTCTCGTTGGACAAGCAAAAGTCGCTTTCACGGCTCGGGATTTTCCTCGATTCGAGTCCCTTTTGTTGCGAGCACAACGTCCGGAGATTGCCATCAAATTATACCGGGTGATGACTTATTTTGATTGCCGTCGTTTTTTTTTCTTCCATCGGAGTTGCTTGTAGTGATGCAAATGAATTAAGAAACGGAAACCGTAGGAATTGAATTGAGAAAGAAAATTTTTCTGTTCTAGTAACTGCACTTCCCTTGACTTTGTGTGAGATTTCGGAATGTTGTGGCTCTAAAAAGAAACGCCTGCGTTTTAGTTTGATCTTCATATTGAATTAGTGCCTGAAGAATGGCAATTGGAATTGTCCAAAGTGGGCCCTAAGCCCTCCTTACAAAGCCGTCTGTCAAAAAACCCTTTCTTACCTTTGCCTTGCAATTACAGTATGTAAAAAGAAAAGTTATGGTCATGTAACGAGGATGATGCATTCCCAAACTTGGGCGGTATACATTGGTGATCGGCACAGTCATTTAGCTGGTTTGTCGTTAAGGTTAATTTTTGCAGCGTTGCACCTGAAAGAATGCAGATGAAATGGTCTTGTTGATCATGACCAGCTTAGAGGTAATGTGTAAATTCTGCAATCCACACTTCCTGAAAAGAAATAAACAGACGAAAACCCTTCTTCATGGACTTTTTCCGCACATCCCTCTAACATGCGATTATTAAATCTGTAAATCCACACTTCCTGAACATGAATCGAGATGAAACTCCTCTTCATAAAGGATGTATCGAGGGTTGGAACTGTCATTGTTTCGCGACAATGAAGACTTGATCTGCGTTCAATTTTTGGTCAAGACATTTTTATCTGATGAATTTGATCCTCGAATAATCTTTTTCATCGTTGAATTTAAATGAAGAAACAATGACATGCGTCTTGCTGATTTGAAATTCCACAATTCTGCGTTTAACCGAAAAGATATTCTGTTGCACAGGATGGTGGAATGTGGACCGAGGCTTTGCGCTTGTGCAAGGAATACTTGCCCCACAGACTGCAGCAGCTGCAGGACGAGTATGACCGGGAAGTTATGACGCAGCCGGGTCGGGACGGAAATTCGTTGCTGATACAAGCTCGAGACTGGGAAGAATCTGGGGATTATCCCAGAGCCATTGAATGTTATTTGAAGGTGCGTACTAGACGTATAGTCGAACTTCCAGGCAACTACCAAAAAATTCGAATTAGAGAGGTTTCGAGTTACTGTAAAAATAATTTTTTGTTGAGGGGAAAGCGATAAGAATTACAGGAAATTGTAATTGGTGATATTCTGGTTCTTGAATTGTTTTTTGAATGACTTGACGGGATGAAGAATTCGGAGAGAAGGGTTCGTACACCCAATTATATTCTTTCACTTCCATTCAAAGCTCGTCGAGTTGAAATTGCATTTAATTTTTCTTTCCTGTATGAATAAAATGGAAACCAAAAGACCGGCAGAAAAATCGAATGAAGGTGGTTTGAGTGGAAAAGTCTTCGAGTTGAAGAAGCTTTAAATGCGCTGTTCCAATTGGCTTTCAAACTGGGATTACAATTCGACCTTGAGTCATGAAAATTAGGGAGGTTTTACTCGTCAAGTAGTAAAATTCTGCTAATTTTCAGAAATTTGCGAGTTAGTGAAATTTATACTTGTACTGTAGTAAACTTTGCAACAAAGCCACTTGAACCAGTAGCAAATACTTTACTAACAATAGCTTTTTTGTTGTGACATCTTTTGATGAAGTACGGTAAATCATGTAAATTTATGTCTATGAGGCGCGGACCTGAAAACAACTTTGTTGTGGTCGATTATGTTTTACTGTATAACGAGATTCTATTATAGCTTCTTCGTTTTGTAGCAGAACTTTTAATTCATCCTTTCATGCAATTGCTCTTCATTGTCCAGGTAACAACCGGATCAGTTAGTGATCCAATGCAACTGGAAAAAGCGTGGTCGTCTGCTGGAAACCTTGCGTTGAAATTCTTGGATCAAGACAAGGCCATGGAAGTGGTTCGAAGAGCAGGTAATCATCGTATACTGTACTTGTACTTACTTTAACTGAGGGACTGACAGTACGCGTACGTAAATGGCAGTAAGACAAGTGTTAACCACTTTCAATTGCTTGAAGCGGCGGACATTTTTCCACGTTGTGCGACATCAACGATATGTGGTGTTACAGAATTTGGAAACTTCATGATATTGACATTGAATATCTGACAATAATGAAAATGCTGTAGAACAGGCGATGTGTACCCACTCAAACTTGCTGAAATCCTTGCGAATTCTACATTACTCTTCAAGAATATGAGCAAAATATTGTATGATGTACTGAGCTTCTATTTCGCTGGAAAGAAAGTAAACGTTCTACTGTATTTACTCGAGTGCCATTCACACCTTTTTCCTAAATATTGAGAGGAAAGAACAGGCGCGCATCATACGCTGGTATACATTTTTCTAAAAGCTTCAAAAGTTTAGGTGCGCAATTATACTTGATTTTAATGGGACTTTTTGGATTAACTTTAAAAGAAAAGCTTATTTTCATATAAAAAAAAATTGAAAACTTGGTTAATTCTGGTTTAATTTATGTCTAGAGTAAAATCTGGGTGTTCCCGTTTTGGGAATATTGTAGTTGTAGAATTGCTGGAAGTGGGGTGCGTGTCTTACTTGGGGTTACAATTTATTCGAATTTTTAGGCTGAAAAACTTCTGTGAGCGTCTTATCGAAGGGTGCATGGCACTCAAGTCAATATGGTATACAGGTTTCTACTATCTCCTCTGCAAAGATTTTTTCTCTGTATAACGAGTTTTTTCCCCAGTCCCACGATGTTCTCCCCCATGTTATAGGGGTTATCTGCAAAAGAATTCTCTCCACAAATTTTTACGAAATTTTTTTCCGTTTTTCTCGACGAATTTTTTCTGGTTCCTTCAACTTTGTTTTTGAGAACTCCACCTATGTACGATTTGCAGACCTACAGAGGAGTTCCTTCTGAATTCATCATTATTTTGTCAACTTCGGAACGATTTTTGAAAATTTGCATGTAAAGCTCTTGAACATCCTTGGAAGTCATTGAATGGAAAATATTTCCCCTACCAGCTGGAAATTTGATGCAACATTCACGATTCAGTGCGGCGGCGCAACTTTTCCTGGGGGCTGATATGGTGAGAGAAGCCATTGATGCTCTGATAGCAGGAGAAGAATGGGGCAAAGCGAAAAAAGTTGCCAAAGAACTGGATCCACGATTTGAGCCGTATGTCGACTCCAAGTACAAGGACTTTCTGAAGAACGCTGGCAACACTGAGCAACTGGCCAGCGTCGATTTGATCAGCGCTTTGGACATGTACGCGGAACGCGGGGATTGGCGCAAATGCATCGAAACTGCGGAGCAAAATGGGCAGCAGGTTTTGCAGAAATATCTGGCGCTGTATGCGACGCATTTGGTTCGGGTGAGTTTATTTTTGAGTCCTTCTTCAGTCCTCTTGAATTCAGAGCATTGCGGGTGAAAATTTTTTGAATGTGCGATACGATTACTTCTTCGGTATTTAGTTTGCTTTCACGGTAAAATCCGCGAGTGAACCTCTCCAAGTCGAACTACTTGAAGGAACCAGCGAAGAAAATCTTTCTTGGGGGAAACTAGCAATTTTGTAGGAGGCAAGAAAGAAGAATTACAGGAAACTATAATTGATCATATTTTTGGCCTTCAATTGCTTCTTGAATGAGTTGACAGGATGTTGAAATCTGAAGAAAGGAGTTATTTGCCCAATCATTCTTGCACTTTCTTCCAAAAGGGAATCAAGTTAAAATTTTGTTGCTTTTCTCCTTCTTGTGTTCAGAAAATAATGCCCTAAAGGCCTCCGGAAAATTTAAATTCGGGAGGTTTCAGGGCAAAACCATCCGAATGCGGGAGGTTTTTAATGCGTTGTTTCCGAAGGAATTGAGAAAGGGTCTTGAATAATATTCAACATAATGTGTTGACTGAGGGAGGTTTTAGTTATCGAGGTTCAACTGTATTCTATTCGTTGAATCAAGCCACGTATTGACTGTATGATTTTTTTACTGTTTGTAGAAGTGCATTCGAGAGTTCGTGTCAGTTTTTGTTCAGATGTGTAACTCAATTCATCACTACATAAGAGTTCAGTTGAAATAAATCCGTGGCATTTTGTGATCATGAAAAAAAAAATCATGCGTCCTTCGTATTTCTTACTTTGAAAATACTTCTGGTTAGAACGACGAGATGTTTGAGATACACATTTCCAATGAAGAATTTCGCGTTTGTTTTACAGGAAAATCAACCAGCCGAAGCTATAAAGCTTTATGCGAAGCACGGAGCACCGGACAATCCCCAAAATTACAATTTGTACAAGAAAATTGCCGTGGACATGTTCAGCCAACCCGGGATGGAAACATTGTCCTCTTACAGAAGCTGGGCTGACCTGCGAAGCACTCTGTTCGGACTGGTTCGTTTTTGAAAGATTACCTGATCTCAAATTCCAAGTGTTTAATATGACATGGAGTTCCTAGATGGATAATAATTATAATCATATTTACTGATTTCTAAGACGAGGTCCGTTTCGCTTCATGAGATGATCATTTCGCTTCATTCAATCAGACGAGCCAAATGCAAGAAAAGGGACACCCCGGCGAATTCGAAACTTTCCTGCTTATTTCGCATTTCTACGCCTTGAGGGCAATTTGTCGGTCAGTGAAATCGTTGGAGAAAATTGCTGCGAAAATTTCAGTGGCCCTTCTTCGCTACACGGATATCATCCCTGCGGACAAGGCGTTTTACGAAGCAGGTGCTGCCTCCAAGGTAAATTGTTTTCCCAGTTTTCAGTGAATTCCTGAAATATAAATCAAGTCAACCCTCAATTTGGTGCCCCCTGGTTTAGAGCCACTCCTGCATAGCGCCAGAAATTTCCCGGGAACCAATCACCCTCCAGTGTATTCTTTGAAAAAAAAAAAAAACCTGATTTAGTGCCAACTCACTTAGTGCCGCAAAAATTCATTGTCCTGGATGAAAAAAGGGCCTAATGAAGGAAATTGAGGCCTTTTTCTTGGAATATCATAGAGTTTATTCTGGACAGACCGCCATTTATCTACGTGGTGGTGAAAAACTGTTCGTAACATAGGATGGGTATTTTTTCCGATTTTGTGTGAAGTATGTACTGTTATATAAGTTCGCGAAAATTGACGTGCGTCTGCTGCCGTGATCACAGAACAATGAACGTTTCAGAAGCATTTGTTTAATTGAAAAATGATAATGAACAATCGAATGTGCGCTACTTAATGTTCCTGCATGAATTTGTCCGAAAACCAGACAAACCTCGCTTTTTTTGGGTTCGAATGTCGTGAAAATCACAATTGTCGACGAGTAGATGATTAACGCAATGTGTTTGAGAATCTTCACACATCAAAAGGATACGTAACAAATCGTTCCTGATTTCAAGGGCATGGGTTGGGAAAACATGGCGTTTGTGTTCTTCAACCACTTCTTGGATTTGTGCGGAGCTATCGAGGACGGAAACGCGGATGCTTTGGATCATTCAGACTTCATCGACACAGACATCCCATTCGAGATTCCGTTACCCGAAAGAGTCAGTATTCCAGCAGAGAAGCAAGAAGAGGCCAAGGAATGGGTTCTCGCCGTGTCCATTGACCAGAAGGTCGAACAGGTACAATTAGTCCACTTCCTGTCTTATATTTTGTGGACTTTCGAAAGCTTTCATCGCAGATATTGCCGATGGACGAAAGATCGGCTTATGAGGCATCATTAAGATCTCCAGATGGTCAGATATTGCAACCTTGCATCATATCGGGTTACCCGGTTTTGCGGAACAAGATCTCCTTCAAGAAAGACAATCGTGTGGCGAACAAGGAAGAGTGGAACAGGTTGATAATGGAGTCGAAAATGTCTCCTTCGTCGGAAATGAGTGACTTGCTGGCTTTCATCGCGAAATGGGCCGGTGAATCTGCTGGACCGTCTTATTCGTTCAAGTGAAGCTGCGGGCGATTGTTTTTAGCGATTTCTGAGCTGAAAACTCGTCTGATGGGAAGAAACGAGTGGCACAAAGGTTGAATTTGTTGAAAAGAATTAATTTTGTTCAAATTAGCTAAGTAGTCTTGATTTGTGCTTTAGAATCATTGTGTTCCTGCCACGCGTGTGTTATCTGAAGATTTTGGTATCACGCGGATAGTCTGTGTTCGATTTACAGCGGGATATACCTTTTTCACCTTAGTATCACGCACCCTCAAGTGAGGCGTGCACCAACATTTTTCAACCTAAAATATAAATGAGATTGTATCCCTTAGTAAGACATGCACCCTATTTTCAGAGACTGAAAATTGAAATACATTATTTTGCTGATGGAATGAATCAGAATTTCAGAATTTAAATTTCGACATGAAATATGTAGTCGAACCATTGATATTTTATCATTTCCAATTTGAAATCGCTCGTAGAAAATGGTTAAAAATTCTTTGTTGAAATCAAATTTAATGTGCACCGAAGCTTGAATTGTTTTTACAAATCTTTTACGTGTCTTATCATGACCAGCTCTTATATTTTGTTCTGTTGTTTTTTGGAAAATTGCGTCTGGTACACAAGTGAATACCGTGCAAGTAAATACTGTGTCCAAGAAATTACTGTGTAGTGATGGGTATTGCAGTTTTAATGGCTGCATTTCCGACTAGATTCGTGAATGATGTCGATCTCCGATGTACTGTACTGTATTATGTTGTGAGGCTAGGTGATCGCATTTATACACGGGGAAATATTTCAGCGGAAATTGTGAAAAAACCTCGATTGCACTCGACCGTGTAGTAACTTTTGAACGCCTTGTTTGAGAAAAATTGAAATACTTTTCGACGTGTACTGTGACGAAGCACCGATCTCGAAATCAATAGCATTTTATTCTGTGGAACGCATTTCTTTCTTCCAAATATTTTAGTGTTTCAATCGACATTGTTTGAAAATTTGAATTATATTTCCAGTGGATGATGGTGATTTTTTCCTGGACAGTGCAGCTGTATTACTGAATGAGAATTGAATTTCTGATTTCGCGGGAATTTCCTTCCATTGTTTTAGGGACTCGAGAAGTTGATCATTGGATATGCTGAGAAATGTCCGTTCATTCTCGCGTTTCACCCGTGAACCTAGTCAGCTGAACTGTGGGATTTCGAGGGATGTTGAAATCCGTAGGAATCCCTACGGAATTCAACTCCTCAGTCCCGGTTTGCTGGCACGAATTTTTAAAAAACCGAGAACTGCAATTACGTCGTCATCGCGAGTATCGACAGAAATCGCCATCAACGAGCTGCACAGATTTGGACTCTATAGTGAAGAACCTGAAGTTTTGGAGGATGTGGATTTTCAGCTTCCAGCCCTCAGCGGTAAAAACGTCGATGATCATTTTCGAATGATTGCTGAAGAACAGGGCGTTCCGTATGCGAAGCTTCTCCACAACTTCGTGGAGTCTGGTATCCCGGTGCGGCCGAAGAAATGGATTTTCCAAGTGCGAGCGATTTATTTTATTTTTTTCTTGCGAGAGTTACGATTCCCTCAGCAGTGGTGTTCCTTACTCGAGGAATTACAGTTGAAACCTTGATAAATCAGAGACCTCTCTAAATCAAATACTGTACCTCCCCATGTCGATTTTTCAAAGTTCTTCTCTGAATTCCCCTGGAAACAATGAAACCTCCCTAATTTGAAGGCTTTCCTCCTTAAACCTCCAAAACTCAAATTCTGGAGGCTTTTTGGGTATTATATTCTTGACATAGGAAAGAATAAAGGTTTGAACATTCAACTTGATATTTTATGAAACAAAGTGGAAGACTAATTGGGCAAATGAACCCGTGCCTCCGAGTTCAGCAGGATCCTGTATTCGTGTTGACTCATTCAAGCTGTGATTTCCGACGTGGAATACCACCTTTCATATTTTCCTGTATTTTTGCATTCCCCAGCAATTTCTTTTCTCTGAACCTCTCTAACTCGAAGGCTTTCCCCCTCAAACATCCGAAATTCAAATTTTCTGGAGGACTTACGGCTTTTATTTTCTGAACACAAGGAAGTGAAAAGCAATAAATGTTCCTTTGTGTTTTGAAAAGAAGGGAAAAGCAAATTGGGCAAATGAACCCTTGCCTCCGAGTTCCGCAACCTGTAAACCGATTCAAAAAGCAATTTGAAGCCCAAAAACTATACGAATTTCAATTTCCTGTAATTATTTTTGCTTACCCCCTAAAAAAATGCCCATTTCCCTAATATTGTTTTCTTACTATAGTCCCTATTGAATTCGACTTACTGCTTCAAATAGAAACGAGTTCTCCTTCTAACGAAACTTTGTGGAATCAATCCCGTGAACCGCAGGCTGGTTGGACAAAATACCTCTCCGATGGGTCTTCGCAATTTGTGAAAGCCCCGGACTGCGACGTGATGGTCCTAGATGTGGAGATCTGCGTTCGCGAAGGCGACCATCCCACTCTTGCAACTGCGGTCTCCCCGACCAACTGGTATAGTTGGTGTTCAGCAGAATTGATTGAGCATGCTCGAAAGTCTACAACGAGCACCCGACCGGATTCCAAGCGTGCCGAACCCCGAGATTATTCCAGTTGTGAAATGATCCCTCTGCTGGACGATTCAATCGACGCTTCTGATAGAATGACGCCGCGGATTGTGATTGGGCACAATGTGGCTTTTGACAGAGCCAGAGTCAAGGAGGAATATCTGCCAGATGTGAGTGGTTTCTTTTATATTATTTTTTTTCTGAGTCCGAGTATCAAGGGAACAAACGTCTTCAGTTGGACATTATAGCTATGGTTATAGTTATTCATTGGGTGAAGTACAGTAGTGTCTTGAGTAACCCGTGGCCCAGAGATAGTCGTTGTCGAACGTCGACTCCAGTTAGGTTGGCTTAGGAAAGTGCTGCCAAAAAAAAAAAAACGGCCTGTATACATAGGCCGAATCTGGCTTGGTCGAGTCCCTTCCCGGTAATTCGCAAGGGGGCACCCGTCATCCAAAATATAAATTGAAAGCTGAATTTGAAAATTCCATTTTGCTTCACCCTTCATGAATTCTAGAAGTCTGTGGTTGTGAGTCAATTTATATCGCTAAATTATGTTGAAAACTTTTCCTTTAATAGGGGACATTTTGGAACCTCAAAAATTGACCATTCTGGTCTGCAAAGGCTCTCCACCTCTTCAATGTGGCCCTGGGCCACAACAATCTGTTCCACAACTCAGTTGGGCCTCGCACTGGCCTAAGACATTGTCACGTCGATTTTGTATCAGAACAAGTTCGTTTGTGTGGCGAGGCCCCAACATAAGGATGATTCAACATGCGGAAAATTTGACTTCGTAACACTAAAAAGTAAAAGAAAAAATCTGCCCGACATCCGGACGATATCCTGTGATCCACACAATTTTTCAAATTTCTAGAAACGGAAAATATTTTTTTTTTCAAAATTTGTTTGCCTATAGAAAAAATCGAGCTCTTTATATTCACAGTAATTGAAAATGAATTTTATTATAATTCCATGATGCCTCTTAATCTGAAAAAGGCCATTTTTTGCTTATTTTTTAGAGTTATTCTTTACATCATCTGGTGTGCACAGTACATTATGGGGATAAGCTCGCGCCTTTTATTTTCTTTTTGGGCTCATTTTCATGCCAACAGATCAGATTATGTGTCGTGTACTTCTTTCTGCCCCGTTATTTTGTGAATCTTGAAGTTGAGAAACATTAATTTATTCAATTTTGCGGGTGGGGACTTTCTGATATTTCATGAACGGGGAGTCCCACAATGTCTATTGAAGTACTGTAAATGGGAAAACGTGATCTGGTATGCGGATGTTCCAACATATGGCCAAGATTCAAGCACCAGTAATTACGTCTGCAGTGAGGCCCAACCTTATCTTTTTACGGTACATGGGAATTCGTCGCATTAATATTTGTTATAAAGGGCGTAACACCTGTAAAAATAACCTTCACTCGAATAAAAGGAAGTTCTCAAAAGTCCATGATTGACGTTCGTTGTGAATTTTTAGCTGTCTGGCCTCCGTTTCGTGGACACTATGTCCATGCACATCGCCGTTGCGGGACTCACGAGCTATCAAAGGGCGCTATGGATGGCCAGGAAAGCAAAGTCCACGAAGCCCAAGAAGGAAACTGAAGTCACCAAGAAAGCCAAAAGCAAATTGCGAGGACCCGTCGTCAACGCTTGGATGGACATCTCCAGTAGGAATTCCTTGGCGGATGTTTACAATTTGTACGTCAAGGGTGACGAGGATTTAGAAGAGCTGGATAAATCTTTACGACTAGTGTTCATGGAGGGCTCTTTGGACGACGTGGTGGACAACTTCAATATCCTGACGGATTATTGCGCGAAAGATGTTGAAGCAACGTTCAAGGTGACGCGGAAGTTGTGGCCGTCGTTTGTGAGGCGATTTCCGCATCCTGTGACGTTTGCTGGAATGTTGGAAATGGGTACGGCGTATCTTCCGGTGGACCTGAACTGGAAAAAGTACCTTCGTCGGGCAGACTCGACTTATAGGTTAACTTGAATGTGCTGATTCCGGCCACTGCTGATGACGGTTCCTATAAATTTTTACGGGTTATTATTTGTCACCTGCAAATTTTTCATTAATCGTCAAAAAATATACGGTAAAAGCAATTCTTATGTACAGGAAATATGACGCTCTGATCAAAATTAATATATTGTACCCTCATCTTGGAATTTTGAGATGTCTATATAATCGAAAAAAGTACTGTATGTATAAAAGGATTCTGCTGCATTATATCAGGGAAAATAGCGTCGTTGTTGAATAAATTCTCGTCTTACTCATGTATTTTCTGCTTCAGCGTATGCTGCAGTATAATGAGTATATTTTGAGGAAATTTTAGAAAGGGAAGATTTAAAATACGAGCATTGTAAAGTAATTGAAATTTTGAACTTTTTCAATTTATTCATCAAAAGAAGTGGGAAATGATGACAATTCTTCACATGTCTATTGTGGAAATACTTTAAATCATTGATTACCAGCTGTTTCACACAAAAGTTCAGTCCTGCATATCCTTGAAGAACCATGAATCTCAATATAACGAATTTTCCGTGACAGCAAAATTTTCCGTAGTCCCCTATAATGGTTTGTTGTAACGATATTTTACTATGTATTCTGCTTTTATTAGGGACCTCGAAGCTGACGTGAAGTATCTTCTCATGGAAAAAGCTTACGAGGCGTGTCAGATGATGCATCAAAATGCATACAAACGGGATCCTTGGCTGTGGAACCTCGACTGGTCCACGAAATGTCTCAAGTTTCGTAAAGGCAAACCAGCGGCGAGTTTTTCCGACTGCGGGCTCCGTCGACTGCAGCAGAATTTTCCGGATGCCATTCGGAAAGGTTCTTTGCTGTATGCCAAGCAGCCATTTATGCCGGGTTACCCGGCTTGGTACTGTGATTTGTGTGAAAAAGTGACGTCTAAGCAGAGGGTCGTGAGAAAACAGGAGCGTGAAGACGAGATCAATTGCTTGAAGAATAGAAACGCTCCAGTGAATATTACCACTTCGATGTCGTCTACTCCGAAGCTCTTACGACTGACTTGGAATGGCCATCCGCTGCATCACGACAAAGTGCATGGCTGGGGTTATTTAGTGCCCGTGAGTCATTTCGTGAGCGAAGGCGACGCGGAATTTCCAACAGAGTGAGTTTGTGAGCTGAAAGTAATTGTCCCACGTCCTGAAAAGTGTTCACTCTGGGGTGAAAATTTAAACTGATGAGCTTGTATTCGGAATCTGTATCTGTGGATGCACAGATACAGATCCCGACATGTTCGACATTAAATTACCCTGTGAAGTTAACCGTGGACTTCGTGTTTCCGTATAAAGTGCCCCCCCCCCCCCTCCTCGCGCAGTGCCTCGAATATTCATGTTACAAATCTCTCTTGACTGAGTTCTCAAGAAAAACCCCCTGTAAATGCCTTGACTTACTTTAAATTTAGTGACAATTCAATTAGGGTCGCATAATGTGCCAGGACAAATCGCCAAATGGTGGCATTAAACCGAGTTTGACTTCGATTATGATTGCAAGTGACATCTATCCCCATGACGAAACTTGGCTGACGTGAGGTTTAAAATAGATGAAGTCTTGAATTCTGTGAGTCAAGTGTGAATAATAGAATGGAATCTGATCAAGAAAAGGTGGGAATCGCGGTGACTTTCAGTTCGAGTATTTCGTATTTCTTGAATAATCGTGGAAGTGAACTCATTTTAAGCATTCCTCCGCGAACTTGAGCTTACGAATCCCATAAAGATGGCGTTCATCTTTAAAGAATGTGTCTGAATTACATTGTTTTTATGAAGTCTAATACTGTACTTTACTACAGTAGAGAACTTGAGTAACTCAGCACACAAAGTCGTTTTGCCGGTCTGCTGAAATCATTTTATTTCTGGACTAATTAATTTCGTAATGATGCTTCAGGTATTATAGTTCCATATACCAATTAGTTCATTGCTAATTCCGGCACGTTAACGAATAAGTTCAATATTTCAGTGCTTATTTGAATGAAATTAATTCCTTTGCTTATACTCTCCAGTTCTCTCAGAAGACTTATGAACGTAGACGTGACGTCGTCCGACGGAGGTCAAGTTATTGCTGAGGAAATTTCTGAGCGAAGTGTAATGGAGAAATTAGAAACTCTGTGGAGCCAAGGCCTTTTGACCGAAACAGACCAACAAGAATTTTTCGCCATGCTGGATGAACTGAAGAAGGCACCCGAAGCAAAAGCAATAGAGACTTCGGATACTGAAGCGGAGTCGGTTGTCAAATTCGATGTCGGCATCCCGGGCTGTGATTTTTACCGATTGCCGCATAAGGTGATTAATTTGTTTGCACTGTTATACTTCCCGTCCTTGTTTTTATTTTTTTCATCTACGGGAAAATTAATTGACGACGAAATCCCAGCATCAGGGACCTGTTGAAAACTTCGTTTTAACGAGATTAAAAAGGTTTCATGCATGATTCAGTCTGAAATTTTGTTGGAAATGGATGAAAAATATTCTGAAGTTTTTCTGTAACAGACACTTTAAGACCTGACGGAATTTTAAGTCTCTTCATCGGAGTGATGAGGAAGAACTTCGAATTGAGTAACAGTTATTTCAGAATATTGAACTTGCCTTTCTAACATAATGTGCTGCTTATTCTCTTGAAAAATAAAATGAAGCAAAATGCATGTGGGAGAAATACTTCCGCCAAATCATTTATGCCTGCTGTTTGTTCTTTGAAATAGAGAAAAGCATTTGTTGAACGTATTGTTTAATTGGAAGGAAGGGCTATATTCTCAAATAATTTTCATGCTGTTTATTTTCTTACACACTAAATTTTCTTTATCTACACGTGTTACCTTCTTGATGAAGTTGGAATTTTCCTGATTTTTTTTGCCAATCATCAAATAATGGCCTCGGGACAGAATCAGCGCCACAAATTCGTAATGCTGAGATTGCATTCTAAGGCGAGTTTTTAAGCGAAATTTTTATCACATGCTGGCGTCTTACAGAAACTACTGTTGGGACCAAAAACATTCGTTATAACAAGAGTGAGCTTAAAAATAAAAATTACTGTATATGTATTCCAGGGAATTTTAGTGTCAGTCTTTTTTTGTAATTCCCTGAAGTTTTTTTTTTTTCCTTTCACCCATTGAAATCTTTCTTCGTTTCTAGAATGGATCTGAATTTCGGGTGGGAAACCCTCTTGCAAAAGACTTTCTTCCGAAAATTGAAGACGGAACTTTAGGGACTGCTGGAGGAATGGAAGCAAAATCTGCCTTGGAAATCAATTCTATGCTCACATATTGGCGCAACGCACGAGACCGTATCATTGGCTCACAGGTTCCAGTTTGGCTCGAAAACTCAGAGTTGCCTGCGTCAATAGAAACCAAAGAGAATGACCGCGTCGGTGCCATTTTGCCGAAGGTTAGAGCATTTTTCACCTGGCAGTATTTTGCAGCAGTTATTGTGGATGTTTGTTTTTAAAAACTCGTGCGCATGTTTTAGTGTGCGTTGTTATTATTTAAAAATCCGCTAAGAAAGGTCTCTACATTTTTTAGGCTTTGGAATTTGGCGATTTTTGCCATAGAAAACCTATCCTGAATGACGAAAAAAAAATCTTGGCAACAATATTTGAGGTATTATACAACTGTGTAGAAATCATACTCTTGTGATCGTTTTACAAGAATAACCAGAAAAACTCCTGATTGCTGTTGAACAAAGTACAGTACAGGCAAAATCTTTTCACAAAGAAATACTCTCTGCAAAAACTTCTTTTGTAGTTACCTGAGCTTTCTTGTTTAGGGTCCACCTGTATAAAAAAAACAATCGTGTTAATGAGGAGTTTTTTTGTTGTTGCAGAAAACCGCGATATGTCGGGGTATACATGTAGTATATACCCAATTCGGCAATATGGCTATAATAAATCCCCAAATTTTGCTCAACAGAGTGATGGCTTTTGTATTAAGCCATGCTTAAGCTCCTGGCACATTTTGGTTAGGGTTCACGAAGATTTCTGTTGATACTAGGATCCTGGATTGTGTACTATGGAGGGCTATTTGTAAAAAATTGAATTTATATCCTGAAAAATGGCGTTGTAATATGAAAAGAGAGGCTCCTCGGAAATCACACCCACCCCGCGTCCATCTGATTCCTATTCAACTTGAAAAACTGGTTTGGAGATCGATAATTCTGTGAAGATAATCGAGTGTTTTTTGTAGTATCCATAATTTTATGCCTTCATGATGCGTGCTGGGATTTAATGCTTTTCATTTCTTCTCTGTGAAGGTTGTAGTTTGCGGAACAGTGACCAGACGTGCAGTGGAACCCACGTGGTTGACAGCCTCAAATGCTTCGGTGAATCGAGTGGGATCTGAACTCAAAGCAATGGTGTCCGCGCCTCCGGGCAAACATTTTGTGGGAGCCGATGTGGATTCCGAAGAACTCTGGATTGCCTCGCTTTTTGGTGACACGAATTCTCCCGCACCCGATCATGGGGCCACTCCGATCGGGTGGATGACTTTGCAGGCATGTTTCTTTCCACGCTGTACAGTACCATCTTATTGTCATCACAACGAAGCCATTATATTAGGACCAGTAGAATAGCTTTGTTGTTACAGAAAATACATGATGTAAAACAGCAGTACGCTGCTGCCCGACTGAAATGTGGGCAAGTGTCACATTCAGGCAATAATTTTTTTTGTGTGGCCATATGCCACATTGCAGAGGTGGACGAGGTGCGTATCGGTGTATATTATTAGATGTATCGGTGTGATGAGACCAGCTGGGTCACACTCGAAGTGGTTGAGTCCATGCAGATGCTGTGCTGGTCCCATTAACTCGTTTTGACTGTATTACTGCCGTATATAAGCTGAATCGGACATAAAATGCATGTATATTTAGTAAGACATTTATTCATTAAGAACTGCTTGTTCCCTGAAATAGAGCATGTTTTCCAAAAATTATTTTCTTTCATAAATTTTAGCCATATCCGAATTCCAGAAGAGCTAATACTGCTGTTCGATTAGAGCTTCATATACTCTCTGCATTCGCAATGGTACATTTTCTGTATGAAAGAGCAGTGCAAATTTAATTCTTGGGCGTTTCTAAATTTTTCACAAGTTGGGTTTTCCCGTATATTCTGCCAATTATCACAAATTTCTATGGCCCATGATGCACACACAATGGAGGCAAAATTTTTTTCAGACTGAGATATTTGAGGGAAATTACTTCTTTATAAGGAACTTTTTGCACCATTGTCCTTGTGAAGAAACTGCTGGGACCAAGAAAAAAAATCGTTTTATTGTTTTTTGTTGAAATGTAATTTTACTCTGCTTTTTCTTTCTTACAGGGCAAGAAATCTCAAGGGACGGACATGCACAGCAAAACGGCCCAATTCGCCGGCATTTCAAGGAGTCAGGCGAAAGTGTTAAATTACGGTCGAATTTTCGGAGCTGGATGTCAGTTTGCTCAGACTCTTTTGCGCCAATTCAACAAGGATCTCACTGTCAAGGATGCGCTTGAAACTGCGAAAAACATCTACGCGCAGACAAAAGGAGTGCGTGGATACAAAATTACGGCAGCTGGTCAGGCTTTCGTGAAGCTTTACGGAAAGAACTTGGGCTTGGTTGAAAGTCCCTATCACGTTTATAGTGGGAAAGACGTGCGAAAAATTTTCCAGGAGTGTCAGCGAACGGAAGATCCTGATTTTGACTTGAAGGTGAGGGATAATTTCCTATTTTGGAAAATGGAATCGAATGCGGTAATTGCAAAATTGGCTACAGTATCTGAAAAATGAAGCGAAAGCGTTAGTGATTTGACAATATTGTCTTTATTTTGCCGTTGCGAAAGGCTTTGTTGCAGAAAATCATGTCAGTCCGCATCCCAGTCACGAAAATTTGAAACAATACTTTTGTACTGTGCAAAACAAAATGCGATAAGGATAAGATGAACCAAGCATGGGAGTACAGTATTGAATTCAATGCAACACTTGGAGACGTCTTTTACGTTTCTTCTGATACACCCACAGATATGAGCTAAGTATTTATTGTTCCCTAGTTTTTCTCATCTTTTAAGTGCTGTAGGGTTTTTACGTTTCTGCTGATGGACTGATGCACGCACAGATGAGCTAGGTATTTGTTGTCCTTAGTTTTTCTCATCTTTTAAATGCTGTAGGAGTGTAGGGTTTTATGTTTTCCTGTTCGTTTCTTCTACAAAAAAATGGAACTTTCAAACCCATCAGCATATCTGACCTTCTTGGATGAAATTAAGAGGATACATTTTAAATACCCTGCTTTTGAATTTAACCTGCCTTGTTTTGAATTTCTTGAAAATCTGCTGATCTTAGTGAAAAATGTTTAAAGCATACCTGTGAGAAGTTTACTTTTGCCCGAAGTTACTCTTGCATTCACACGTGTATTTCTCAAACTGCTGAGGGCGAATTTTCATAGCATACTGTTAATTTGATTGAAAGGAGTGCTGGTTGCTGACCTCTCAAATGAAGCTGATGAGAAAATTCAAAGAGAAGCATCCTGCTGTTGGATTCTTTCTTCAAAGACATCTATACCATAAACAAAATCGATCATTCTGCAGATAAGATCGTAGACAGGATGGCTTGTGGAGAGAGTCCACCTGCATTTTCTACAAAACTAGCATTTCTTCACAAAAAGCGAAGTTGATGAACTTTTACGTATTGCAAAATGCAGATTTTCCCCATTATGTACGAGGGTTCTAACAAAAGTTCTCGAAGTCGGCCACTTGGAGGTGGACGTGCATATAAAAAAAAATCGAATTTCTAATTTTTTTCCGGCCTATAGAAACTTTTTTTTTCATCCCTTGACAAAAATGGAAACGCGAAAAAAAATGCAACAAGAGTTTTTCAAGCAGTGTGGGCAGGAGCGTTGTCATGATGCAAAAAAGAACGCCTGAGTTCCTATTCTGAGGATTTATTCCAAAACTTTTGAGAGGCTCTCTGTCACGTACCACTTGAAGGTTACAGTCTTCCTGTTTCAAGTGGAACAGCCCTCAAAATTCCGGAGTGAGAAAGAAACTGGTCAAAATACTGTATTGTACAACGCACTTTTTGGGAGAGCGGTGCCCCTTTTTCAGATCACAGCATGGACTTGTGCTTTGTTCCTGGATTACAGTTATAATAACCAAGCCTCATCTCCAGTCGCAATCAATTTAAAGACTTCCCGTTTTTGAATTTTTTCAAGGAAAACGTTTGTGAATTTCACTCTGGCTGCTTTCTGTTCTTCACACAAAAGATACGGCACCCATCTTGCTGATTTTTTTTTTGTGTAGCCAGCTTCTCCTTCAAAACCCTTGAAATGGATGGAAAACTTCCTGCATAAAAATTGAGAAAACCACTTGGCCACAGTCAAGAAGGATGAGGCATCACTGCCTAAACCTTTTTTCATTCTTTCGAATGACTCAGTAGCTTTCAAACCACACCGGAAGTTGTAGAGCATGAATGTGCGCAACTGCTCTTTTGTCATGGGTGCTGCAAGGGCACAGCAATGGATATCATTCATTCGATTTTTTCGCGTTTCCATTTTTGTTCGGGGATGAAAAAAAATGGTTCCATTAGGCCAGAAAAGAATGAGGAATCCAGTGAAAAAAAAAAAAAATCACGTCTGCCTCCCGTGAAGGCTTGTGGCTGACTCCGAGAACTTTTGTTATAACCCTCGTATGACATCACAGTATGCGTAGAACTGGTCAAAATATTGATATTCATTCGATCTCTGTGAAATAAATACTTTTGAGTTGTCAACCTTCATGGTGTTTAGCCGGAGCATTTTTGAGAACCTCTTTATTACGATGTGCAAATGTTTCCTTTGTGGTTTAAAAAAACGGATGGTTGATTTCGGTTCTCGTTTCTTTGAAGGATTGGACTGACGTAGTCGAGCGTTCTGCGTGGATGAATGGAACTGAGAGCGCCATGTTCAATCGGCTGGAGGAAATAGCTGAAAGCGATCATCCCAAAACACCGGTTCTCGGTGCTCGAATTTCCAAGGCCCTTGAGCCTTTGTATGTTGACAAAAATGTGAGGAATCCATAAATTCTTTTTTTTTGTCTCTTCGCTGAATGCATGGTTGATGTCTAGAAATGTATGTATATGCGCAGTTTATGACGAGCCGGGTGAACTGGGTGGTGCAAAGCAGTGCCGTGGACTACTTGCATTTGTTATTGGTTTCCATGCGTTGGCTGCTGAACAAGTACAACATTTCTGGACGATTGTCCATTTCCATCCACGATGAGGTAAGTACTGTGCTCTTCTGTACACGTACTGTATATTACAATAAGAGTTCTCGGTCTGATCTGTTTTCATGTTCGTAATTCTCCGCTCTCGGAGCAAACTGGTTTTTTGCGCGGCAGTTTCGCATGTTTCGATTTTTCATATAAAAAAAGAAGGGTTGTTCTGGATGCTCTTTCACAATTTTGAAAGAAGAATTTGAGTTGCTATAAAAAGCTCGTGGAAGTGGTAGCATCAATCGGTTCCACGTATACCAGTTGGTCCTCAACATGCGGAAGCCTCCACATTTACGGATGTACCGATGATTGAACTTGAAGACACTTGATGATCCTGTAAGAAAACAATTTATGGGACCAAGAAGCGATTCGTTGTACAGAGCAAGAGATTCCACCGCGGTATTCAAATGCCATCACCTTTCACGTCAGTATCACGAGCACACTATAAAAGTGCTGTATGTGAATAATGGCACTTGATCAACGAATGATTGTCGGATCCGGGATAGAATTTTTCAATCACTTCGATAATAGCTGGCGACAGTTTGCCAATTCTAAAAAAAATTACAATCATCATATTGTTTTCTTATATTGACTTTGCCATTCTTGTGAAGATGCGGAGAGCTGCGTGAGAGGCTGAATGACCAATTCCATCAATTCTTGTGAAGAAATTCAAAAATAATTGTATGTCAGTAAGATGAGATTCCTCAGGATGCGTTTTGTCTGTTGGTCATTCAGTAATATAGAGTTTTGAACCTCTTATATTCGAATTTCGAGGGACCAGCAAAACAAAATTTGACTTGTGGAGGTTTCCAGTTTGAGACGCGAGCATTTTTGTTGGGGGAAAGAAAGAGGAATTTCGCGGGAAATCGTAATTGGGGATATTCTGGACCTTTCAATTGCTTCCTGAGTTGACAGGATGCTGAACAAGGCTTAATTTCCTCTAGTAGTCTTCCACTAACTCTCAAATCACTATCATGAGTCACCTTTTTTGTTGTTGCTTTTCTCTCTCCTGTGCTCATGAAATAATAGCCAAAAGACCTCCTGGAAACTCGAGTTATGGAGGGTTTTGGAAGCAAGTTTGCGACTGGGAAATTCGCTTTAAATGAAGCATTGCTTTCTATAGGGAATCCAGAAAGGGACTTCCAAAAAATTGACATAAGGGAGGTATTGGAATTGGAGAGGTTCGAGTTGACGAGGTTCAACTGCACTTGTTCCCGCTTACATGTTTTCCTCTCTTTCGCTACTTTAACAGGTTCACTACATGGTGTGTAGCAAGGACCGGTATCGAGCAGCACTCGCATTACAAATCAGCAACTTGTTGACGCGGTCTTTGTTTGCGCACAACTTGGGTCTTCGGGATTTGCCGCTCGGAGTGGCATTTTTCAGCTCGGTCGAGATCGACAAGGTGTTGCGGAAGGAGAGCAACGACGATTGCGTGACACCTTCGAATCCTCACGGACTGGCCAAGGGTTACGGAATCCCACCCGGAGAATCCCTGGACATTCATCAGTTGTTGGCCTACAACGTCGACGTCTTCTTCTTTCTCGGTTAGTTCCAGTCTCTACACACTACAAACATGACATATACATCAGCTATAAAAATCTTAACACAAGAACTATAGTAGAAACTCGTTTTTCACTTTACTTGTTTGAATAAGTGGGCTCTTGTATCATGTCGATCGTGAAATGACGGCATGCGTGCCGCAATTTTACCTCGCTGCTATTTTTCGGCTCTTCTAAAGCATGTGAAATTAAAGGTCTACCTCGATAACTCGAAGCCCTCCTTGACGAATTTTTTGACCATGTCCCTGTCTCAATATCCCTGGAAACAATCCATTGAAAACTTCCTTCGTATCTTTTAAGGAGGAAATTGCGTTTTCAGCGAAAGATTTTGTAAATATACATTTTGAGAATTTTTGTGCATTTTTTCTCAACCTTATAAAAACTACTAACAAGATGTTTTAGATTTCATCTCGGACAAAAGATTCCTTTCTTTTAAAAGACTCGGTTTCATACTTCTCACAACTTTTACGGGTAAAAGGTTGTTAACTTATGAGCAGATGGTTTGTTCCTACCTTTGAAAACTGTCCTCAAACCTCGATGACTCGGATTTTCTGGAAGCCATTTGGTTATTCCTGTATTTTATTTGCAGGAAAGTGAAAACCAATGAGAATTCGACTTTATGTCGTGTTTTGAAAGGAAGTTCAAGACTATTCGGGCAAATGCAACCTTGCCTCCAAGTTCAGCATTTTTTTACCTCATTGATGAAGTATTCTAAGTTCTAGAATATCGCCAGATATATACTTTTAAATTCTTCTTTATTTTTCCGACGAAAAAAGCTTGTTTTTCTCACCCGAATGTTTTTGTTGGTCCTTCAAATTTCTGCTTGCAGAGGTTATTTGACGGTGTATAACGAATCCATTTGTCTTGCTCTAATTTTCAGGATAGTTGGAGATCTTCCGACGAGAGTGTGAATAAGTGAAGTGATCCTCCGCGCGGTTCTTAGTTTTCGACGCCGAACGCCGACTTCGCGGTTTGCCGCGTACGCAGTCGAATGTGTGACCAGTGTGCTTGCGAATCGGAGATGTACCGGGTGAATACGTTTTAATTTTCAACTTCCATATACTGTATGTCGAATGATGGATGCAGTTGCAGGGGCCAGTAGTTAATACATTACATGACACGCGTTGCTTCGACACTGCTAACGACTCGGTTATTATTGAAACAATAACCGTGTTTCACACTAAAGAACCCACATTTACCGTACAATGCACCCAAAGAAAATGGGAGGGTTGGTATTGGCTTCTCAAGCATGGTATCCTCTTCCCTCTGGAATGGCTTGTGTTTCAATTTTTGCTTGCGAATTAATTGGCAAGCTATAGTTCGAACCTAAACCCCCCCTCCCCCATGTTATTTTCTGAAAAAGAAAGCAGACGACAGTCACGACACTGCATCAGTTGAGCGCTTCGGTGACTGCAACTAAATTCATCGGAGGATTGATTTGAATAATGAGCAAAATACTGTTCCAAGCACAACTCAGTTATTTCTCACTTCAGAAAACTGCAGGATAATCATTCATAATAAGACGCATGGACAGATAGACTGACAGACAAATCAAATATTACATTTTTTCGAGACCTTTTTGTTCTCTCAAAAAACAACCATCAATATTCTTTCGACCAAAGTTGGAAATTAAACCTTATGCTTAGTTTTCTGAGAATTTATCAATCAAATCACAATGACTGATATTTCTTGCAAGCTGATTCAATTTCCAGCCATAATACAATATTGTGTATCCCAATTCGAGTTTATTTTTTTTATGAAGTTGAGGCCACTCAAAAAGTTAGCAGGATGGAGTAAAATAGATGCAGAGCAATGTTGGATGGAATTCAATCCAATTCAATGATCCTCTTTGTTGGTTCTGATACGGATAAAGAACTTTCATTGGTGCAACATTTTTTTACTATAATGGATATTCAGAAAAGTAAACTGTACTCAGTATATGAATGCTTCCCCAGCGTAGAATTTTGCGCGAAGTGCTGGTTTCGAAAATTGGAATAGTTGATATTTTGCTTTGTAAGATGAAAGTGAAATCTTCGGAATTCTGAAAGGTCCAACACTTGAATAACTGATCACCAATGACATAACTACCAACTATCCTGCTTGAATAGTGTTGATATTCTCATTTTCTTTTCATCCACGCAACATTTTTTTTTCAAAACCCTCTGAAGTAACTCCTATTCATTCTCACATCACTTTCAAATCAACGAAACTGCCTGATTTGTAATTTTTCTGAATTGGAAAAACACAGTTTTCTTGAAAGTTTTTGAGATAATTCAACTGCAGCTAAATTTTAGTGCAAACATGACATCACTGAGAAAAACTATTGTCTTCTGCTCCTTGTGAGGATATTGTAACTGTGCTTTTTAAAAATTGTTGTGCATCCAAATAGGTTTTTATTGCATTTTTAGATCTTTCAATACTGAATAATTGTTAATTTTCTTTCCAATTCAATTGGCTAGATAATGGAGCTGTAACCAAACTCATCTTCAATCAACACATTCATCATTTTTGTACCACTCTTCCAAATGATGTATCCAAGAAATAAACCTGCCTCAATGTCCAGTTCAATATCCAATTGTGATACTGCTCTCTTTTGACATGAATGATGTTTGTCTTATTATGGACAATTAGGTTCAATATGTAAATGTGGCACATGAGACAAGGGAACAAAATGAATCCCTGTGGCTCCTGCTTTTCAGAATTCAAACCTTTTACGCAATTGAACCCAAGTCTGAAAATAGGGTACAGATTTCTCATCCCACTCCGCAGAAAATCCCTTGGAGCATGCAGATATGCCCCAATATAAGCTTGTGTTTAGGGGGGATCTACAGTATCCCAGTATGATTAATATATCTTTTGAATATTTTGAATGCAAATGCGGAATTGGATCAGAGAAGATGTTCAATTATGTACAAATCAACAAAGATGCAAGTACAGTACTACATTTCTGTTTGTGATCTCAAGGAAAGCGGCTCACACAGCTTCATTCATTCATTTTTGCTGATATCTTCTAACGTTTTCTCATAGATTTTTGCTTGCTACCTCTTTTGGCTCAATATAGTAAACTCAAAGCAAAATGAACATCGTAGTTCCACTATACTGATCACTACTGCCTTTCTGCATTGCCAATTTATCTGGTATGGATTTTGGAGCCGCTCAAGGCAACAAAATACAACCTACTCATTGTGATGGGCAAGAGAATACTCACTGAATTTGCATGAAAACACAACTCAGGACTGATTTCCTGCAAATGTGATGTCACAAACTAGCAGGTGAAAATTCTGCAAAAATTTGAATGCTTTGAGACCCCTTTCTTTTGTATGGCTACAAAAATGTGAGAAACAACTAATTTCGAAATTCCAAAATAATTGCCTGAACTGTTCTAAAAGCTGGGCACTGTATCACAAACAGTACTGAATTTCATGACAGTACTTGAAAGTTCCCATCATTGTTTGGATGGAGCTCATTCCATATGGTCAATTTATATTGTCAGCACTTGAAAAATAGGTTGAAATCTAAGCACCTTGATCCTACATGCATAACAGCTGCACTGATTTCTTCAAAGCAGCATTGTATTTCCTGGATAATGCAAAGCTCAGCCTCCAAAATATCACAACCAATTAGTTTCAAAAGAAATCCCAATGGATTTGACTGGACCAAGATATGTGATCTAATTATAATATCAAACTTGAAAGTTATTATAAACAATGCAATGATTATGCCATCAAATTCAGATTTATCACAGTACAAAAGCTATTGGACTGCTAAATTCTGTTGATTTGTGAGATGAACATATTATTGGTGTACCTGTGGAGTAATTCATATTTTTTCCAGAGCCTAATAAAAAATCTGAGTTACTTCATAGAGCATTTGCCAAAATAGGACTGTCTGCATCCCCATTGTAAAGGGATTGAAGATATAACTTGCCAGGATAATGCACCTTTGTGATGAAACTTTCAGCAGTGGAGAAGGTTTGACAGGCACTCTCAACTTTCACATCCATTGATATTTGTTGTATAAGCTTTTGACCACAACATGGAAGGGATCACATTCAGTCAAGTTTGCATATCACAAAGTTTGCCAATATTGGAGGTTTCACAAGAAGTGGCAGTTGCAGCAGTCAAAATGGCTTCAAGCTGCTCCATTTTCTCCATGTGATCCATTTTTCCATTTGTGAGCAATTTGTAAACCATTTGCATGGATGTTGTCAAACTGGGTAGCTCTCCATCTTTGTGGAGACACAACACCACCTTGGAAATGAAAATAATCTTTCATGATGGAAACAAGTCTCACTTGAAGAAGAAATATATGACATAAGTAGAGTAGAATGTCCAGGAAATCACTCTCAGTGTAATCAGGTTTGAGAGAGGCTGAATCTATGTCAAACTATTGGATATATTTTTCTATTCATAATGCTGAACTTAAAGTATCAAAATGCATCATTATAAAGGAAAGCAGTCAATCAACAATAATCAACTCAAAATAAAGATTGAATCATAGGACAGTGGAAAAATGACATGAAATGATAAGGTGGGGCAATCAGCCTTTTAGGCCAAGAACACATATTGAAGAGGACCTGGAATATGTGTTCCTAGTTTTGAATTTTACTTTATCCATTTTTTAAATCACAAAAGCCAGGAACTAAATGCAAAATATCACACTACCAAATGTGTGCACAAATTAGATTGAGAAGATGATGGGATAATGATAATAATACTTTACCAAAAATAATGTGTGTGTTATTGAGGACAAAGGTCTTCAATATAATCTGATGTGGAGTGTTGATTGGAGGATAATAGAACATGTTAATCATTCTGGGACAGGATCAGGAATTCCTTTTAGGACTGCTTTGTTAGGGGAAAAGTATATTTCACAAAGTATAACTGAATAAATCAACTCAACAAACTCAACTTGGAAGAATAACTTGGATAACTTGAGTAACATACATAAAAACTGACTCTTCTTTTTATTATATGAAAAGGAG